GAAGAATTGCAAATGCAATAACCTACTGAAGGAAAGAAGATGGTTGTTTGTCTTCTGGATAATAGCCAAGTTGTCTGGTAGAAGTTTACTGACATTTTGGAGGTACTTTCTGCCTCCATGATCACAGTGATAAGCTGCACATAACTTCTACCAGACTATATGGCACTACAACACACAAGATAACCATCTTCATACTCACTACCATGAATATGTCATATTGAACTTCTTGAAATAAGGTTTACTGACCCACACTCAATCACACAAAACTATTCAATGATGGGTGAATGTCATTAACACCAGGCAAAAATACACAGCTGACCCCCCCTCCCCTCCCCAAGGGTACCAAAAACTGTCCTGATGTAGGCACTCAGAAAGTATAAGATCTATGCAAAACAGATATCTTCCACATTTACTAACAATTATCTATGTGTTATTCATCCAACACTCAATTCAAATGTTGGCAAATTTTATTTCATTTTCACATTGGAAAATTCATGGATGCATTAATTTGACAAAAACTGGAGAAGCAAAGTCGAGAAGTCATTCCTCACCCTGCCTTGAAAAGGAACTCAACAGCACAGTCACAGAGCTCTCAAGTGATACACAAGTAGCTGTCACAGGACTGTGCTTAACCACCCTTTGTCAACTGATATGACTTAACAGCATGTATTATGCAGCATTTGGTACAAAGGCTGTTAGGATATCACGTCATCTGAGCACACATATTTCAGTATCATAAATGGTCATCTATCTCACCAATGAGAGAAATGCACCACCTTTCCTTATGTCTACAGTACGTACTGATGACATGCAAGACCAGATGTAATGACCTTGTCTGTTACAAAATTATGGAAAAATGACAATAAATTCAGGATTTAAGTGTCACCAAAGAAACTCACCTGTAACGGTAACACTACCTGTTGAGAAGATTTTGAGAGTTGCTTTGGGTTGAGTCAGTTTGTATGTCACACCAGGATGAAGTTCTGGCTCGTAACTAAAAGAAAAAGTACCACTTACCTAAAATTATATTAATGGGACAAAATACAATTTTCAGAATATGTACATACCGAGATATTTACCACTTCACTGACAATCGGTATAGGAATCTCAGTCCCAGCAAATCTATTAAACCTAGCATGCTACACAATTAAAGTGTGTTTGTCAAGATTTATATATACAACAAAATAATAACTATGGATCCCATTCAATTATTTAATTAAACAGAAGAAGAAAAATAGAGATATTTATCTGACAATCCATTAAACAAAAGCTTATAGTAATAAAAGGCAGTAAATCTAAATAAGAGACCATTATGAATGGCTGAATAACTCTTATCATGTATAATCATACACAAAAATATACTATATGAGACACAATTTACAATATGCCACAAGTAATATTTATGAACAAGTGTTATAAAACCAACAAGATTAAATTATGCACTTACTCTGCATGTTCTTTGTATCGTTCTGAAAAGGCCATTATTTTGATTGCAAAGGGCATGGAGCATGTCCCCAACACATTGACTACCCTAAAGTTATTGAATCGAGCTTTAAAGCCAAGTTTCTGTAAACATCGAGCAAACCGTCTTGCTGCAATTTTTGCTTGCTCTTCACTAGTAGCTCCAGTACATGTTACTTTCCCAGATGACCACATAGAAGCTGTTGTGTATGGCCTCCTCAGTTTCATCGTGATCATCTGCACAAAACAGTTAAAAACAATTAATTAAAATATTTCCTCAACATTTTAACTTTTATAACAGGAGTGTAAAAGTGTTATGAGTAGAGTACAGAGATATCCAATCCTATAGTGTAGAATCCTGGTGTGTTGTTTTATGTTTGCTGGCTTAATATTGTCTCATTGTTACTATTTACATATGCCTTTATCACTATTTTTCAAGTGTTTGCTTGTTACAGAACTACATGTTTTAACAACAGTACAAGGATTTCATGTGTGTCTCTTGCAATTTTGCATCTAAAATTAGCCTTGCTATCCATTTATTGAAAACATAAATCTATTTTTGAATGAGTTAATCAACTATAGAGATGGCACACTACATACACATAAAATATAATCCCTTTGCATTAAAAACAACAACAAAGCTTGGGAACCAGATCTTACATATGCAGTTTCTATTATCACAACTTATTTCTGAAATATATTTTAACATTATCCTCTGCAGAAATAATTAATATAAATGACACTAAAAAAGATGCTTATATCTGCAAAGAGAATTGATTTAGAGAAGCACCTATAAAGTTTGTCCCGCTATACGCCATATAGACGTTTGGGGTGAGTGGAGGTATAGGGTACCCATTGTAGAGGAGGCGGGGTGGGCCGCAGAGCCGGTCTGGACGCAGAGGCTAGAGGAAAAATCCTCTGCCCCCGTCGGGAATCGAACCCCGGTCGTCCAGCCCGTAGCTAGTCACTATACTGACTGAGCTATCCCGGCTCACAGAGAAGCACCTATAGTAATTTTTTCTTGTGTAATGTATGCAGATCCCTCAGCATATACCAGATTTTCAGACATAAGTGGTTTCCCAGGTGTGAGGAGGGGGTTGATGTGAATATGAATTAGCAGTTGGGGTGATCTTCTATCTTGCAGGTTGGGCATTTTGATAACCATTCCTATCAATGCAAAATTCATTATGCAGGCTACTCCATTCACGATCCGGCTCCTATAAACCTAGCCCCATCCACCCAATTGGCATACTCATCGCCCTAATGACGGAGGCAGTATGACCTCTGAAACGTTGGTTATCATCGACCAAACTACACAGCGTAACAACCCAGAAGACAGAAATCTTTGATATAGAATGAAGTCATGGCTTAATTTAAAATGCTACACCACAATTTGCCTAAAGGGACTGAGGAAAATCATCAACCTCTCAGCTTAATGTAATCTGGAAGTCTTCTGAAAACAAAGTACGAGTGCTAACCACTCAGTAACAAAATTGGATCAAATTAGCAATGGTGAGTAAAATTACTCAAATTATCCATGTTGAGTGGACATCTTGTCACTATGGAATGTTATGTCCTCATGTTGCCTCCAAATACACTGGGTTGCTGCACGTACTGTAGACTATAGTATATTAACAAGAAACTGTAGACAACTGATACGGAGTGGCTGGCCATTCAACTTCAACGCTGGGCAGAACAGCGAGTACTAGCATGTTATAAAATGTGACACAAGGCCTTGAAATGACCTAAGAAATGGAAAATGTATAAAAACTGCATTCATATGGCCAAGGATAAGGTCCAATAAAGTATGGTAATAAACCATTCGGTTCCATAAAAGAGGAATTTGACTAGCTGAGTGACTACTAGTTTCTCAAGGACTCTGCTCTATGAAGTGACTGACTTCAATACAATTCACAGACCATCTATTATGTATGGCTCATGACTGTCATGATCCCCCTCCCCCAGTGTGTATAATTCTAAATGGTTATTATTACCATATTTGAAAGTTTCTTTCTTCTGTGTTGAATGAAGCAGAAAATTATCATGAATGGCAAGAAGTGAAGGACATGGCAGGGGACTGTCATTTCCTGTTTCAGCATTCTATTCCTGAGAAGACTTAAGAAAATTGTAAAATCTCAGATAGCCCCAGGGTTTGAGACTCAATTAAGATTGTTTCTGTAAGTCAGAAACTAAATGTAAGAATATGGTATTACAAATGGTTCCTACTAAACAGGCTGTGTTGCAGATTCACAGAACAGATGACATATGAAGTAATATGTGTATTATTAGCTTGTCACACACCACCCTTCCAAAGCAACACAGTACTCTACAAGCAAGCTCTGTGCATGTTTGTCCATCCAAACATTTAATGATGCATATCAATACTATACACACAAACTTCTGTGAAACACATTATAAACATCACACCAGTGAACATATACCAACTTGGTACATGTGTGTCTCCTGTATTCAGAAATACCAACACAGTACAAACACTGTATATCAAAATCTTATATGCTCAAGGTATTCAACATTTAACATAATCTCTTTCGGTAAATGAAAGATAACATGATGACCTTATCTAATATTTTCATATGATAGCTAAAGAATAACTGGCACTACGAATACTTATATGGTAATATGTTATAAACACATCTGCTAATAGTATGAGTTGATTACATTTGTAGTCTAATCCACAAGAAGTGTGAAATGCATCATGCCCATGACAAGATATCTGATACAGTCAGCTTTGCTATAACAGTTGTGCTCTTGAAACTCTCATCATAGAAAAATTGTTATAAAACCAACTGCAGTGTTTCTCCCTAAACCACAGATACACATTTCTTTGTGCCCAGTATCCATCTACTTGACCTCATTACAAAAATAGGCCCATGTTATGAAAATAGTACATCTTAATATTTTCATTATATTGAACTCAAATAATCAAAACAGGTACTATAACACGGACATACTTGTTTTTAAATCTGTTACCAGTGTACATACCAGAACAGATTATGCACAAAACAACTTCACTAAGAATCACAAAGAGCAGGCTTATTCTTGAAAATTTTCAGCTGGTCAACCTATTAGCTTTTAAAGAATCCAGTTTCATTAATGTGTTCCCACGTCTGGAGCTGAATCCTATCTGGAGCACTTCACTATATCTTAATACTATTCCCCTTTCTATGTTGTGCAAACTTTCCTCAACATTTTCAAATAAAATTGCCTGAATTTCTCATCTTTCCATGCATGCTGCATCTCCCATCCACTTTCCCAATTTCATTAGGTAATTTAAGTGACAATAAAACTTATGAAATTCGTTATGTAATTGCTTTAATCATTTTATGCCTTCTTTCTTAGGCTGACATTCTCTCACCACCATCATCCAAAACTCCTCATTGTACAATTTTTCCATAAAATGGGACAACTAGTTACCAAAATATACACAACTGGTAAAATTTTAGATTTGTAAATTTGATTGTTTCAGTTTCTGAAAATAGTAGATAAGTAAGGTAGGCAAGCATTTCTCAAAATTTAATGACCTTTACTTCACCATGAATATAATTTTGCTGCTGTTCATCTAAAGCACTTGAAATTCAAAGGTATTATAAGCTAATTTTTAATATAATTCTATCCTGCATCCTGGTAATAAGACATGAACATCCACAACCATTCTTCCTACATTTACTTCAAGGTCAACCACTTGACTGATAATGCCTATTAAAGATTATGCTTCCTCTTTATGATACCGATATTTAAATTTTTGCCTAATAAGAACAGATTCCTTTTACATACTATTTTTTCATGTTTAAAATTTCTACTTTTTTCACACTCTATTTCGTTTCAAGCTACGGAATTCTCAGATACCACAAAGCCTAAAATTAGAATAAAAATTCAAATGTCTTATAAGACTTACATTTAACAAACATTTCATACTGAAAATTTTTTTGCAGTATTTTCATCACACTTTTAAATGCCTTCTGCCAATGTTCACATGACTCAAAATTTAAAGTGTATTTAGCTTTCACATAACTTCATACTTTTAGGCCTGCATTTATGCAAGCTAGCAGATCAGCTCTCACTTTTGCATGCATATAACAAATTTGTGCAATTCCCTGTACTTATAATAAATTGCAAATGATGACTATGAAGTACAAAAGAATAATTTAATTACACTATACTAAATACATAGGTTACTTAACAGTGAATACAACTACAGGATGGCATAACTGGTAAAGGTGAGGACTAGTTATTCATTTATTTTATGGCACTGCAACAACATGCAATAAGATGTGGCATGTATGATCTGCAGCTTTCATGGTTACTAAGTACACTGAATTCTACTTGGGCTGCTTTCTCCATTAAACCACCTTACATGGCTGGTATCCCAACAAGAATTCATTAAAGAAATGGCATGATCACTTAAAAAGAAATGTGGATGGAAGACATTGCAGCATACTTTATTGTACTGTAACAGCATTTTCCTTGAATGAGAAAATACCATGAAAGCCTTCAGTCAATTATCACCCACAATCCAAACAAGGCAACCTCCTGCTTGTGAGTTAGATGTGTCACAATTGTGATACATCACTATGAAATACTATACAGATATCACCGAGTTTCCAGTCAAACAGATAATTGAAATTCAGTACCAGCTTGCAAAGCTGTTAAAAATTCACATCCTTAGCACAATATTTTCTATGTGAATGTTGCACCCATCAGTTATAAATTAACAGCAGATGCAGTATATTTTGTTTAAGTTCACAAAATGACATTCAGAAATAGATGAACAGATGCTTTTAGCTTTCTTCTTTTCTTCAATAAGATTACTTAATAAAGCTACACTGGCTGCAAAGTGATAAGTAAAATGAGAAGTGTTATGTATAGTGAAGTAAAAAGGACTGATAAGAAGTGGCTGCCACCAAATTCAAGACAGAATACTGACATTTGCCTGGATAGACCACAGAAACACATGCAAATATTTTTCAGAATAAGAAATGGTACAAAAAGGAACATGAACATACAAAGTTTGATTTTTTATCATATTAAAGTAAACAATATCCCAAACTCATATTTAAAATTACTGCATGACTAAATTGAAAAATGTCATAGGAAAACAATTCTTTTATCATAAATTTCTCAGGCCTTAGTGCCTTTTAAAATTCATTTTCAATACATGAGGGAGTTCAAAAGTGTGAATTTTCAAATTTAAAATGTACAAAATTTTGGCAAAATAAATTTATCTTTACATAACACTCAAATCATGATGGGATTTGAACTACTGGATGTCAAAAAAAATTAACTTCATTTTTGCTACTTATTGCCCTAAAATAGGTGATAGTTATGACAAAAATGAATAAAGAATGCAAAACCAGGCACTTATATGGCAAAAAGACATTATTCTGCTATGAAACTCACATATCTTTAAATGGCATGCAATAAAAGATCTCCAGAATATCAGTTGCAAAGGTCAAGTGGGCATAGATCCTAAAATGTTCCCACTGAAAACAGCAAAGGTAAGCAGTTCAAGATCCTATTACTGTACAAAACTAATGGACGACACTCTGGCTTCACAACCAAGTAGTAAAGAATATGTTTGTATGATAATACATGTGCTTATATCAATATACTCTCTTTGACTTATATCCCTTTTCTTAAAAACAATAGTCTTCAATAATTCAAATGTAAATTTTTTGAAGTTTACCTCTATCCATTATTCCCTATGCTGAAAGAAAACGATGTTTCACTCTTTAAGCACTAAAAAATCAATGGATGGATTTGAATTATTCAAATACTGTTTCAACATTTCATAATTATATTTATGTGAAAATAAATAAAGCTTGATCCAGATCTCATATAAGTAATCCCATTCCTGGAAGTACCTCAAAGTACCATAAGGCCACTGCATAAATTTCTATTATTTAAATACCATTTTACATGCTAAGTCTTGCCAATTAATTTGTAATGGACACTAAAGTAAATTATTTAACAAAGATGGGTAGAACTTTGCCAACGTTTTGGAGGTTCTTGCTACATCCACCATCATGGAGATGGGCGATCTTTATATTCACTACCATGAAAATCTCAAATCCTACTGAATTATTTTACTTCTGCCGCACTGAAACCTACACTTGTAAAATTATTTAACAATACCAAACTATAAGATAGAATCCAAATGCTCAAGTGTAATTTTAAATCTCATATTTATGTTATGTAGGAGAGATATTTCAATGTACAAAGTCCTGAATCTGGCAGCAGTATAAAAATATTGCATCTCTTTCAATAATATGTTACTTTAGTCTGAAATGAAGACAAATCACTTACAGTGACTTAAAAAAAAACCCGCTAGGGAATTGAGCATTGTATCACTATCATGAATAACAAAAACTGATCATAAATACAAGATGTATATGGTAAATTCCAAAACAAAATTCATTTGGTATTTTTCCTCTTGGAATTAAATGATAAAACCTAATACATTCCATGCTGCATGCATCTGACATCTAGTAGTAGAAGTATAGATTTCAGTATATAATTTCTTTTATTATTCCAGATGACAGTGAAAGAGACCGATGTACTACCAGCTAACTTCCTCCTTGCTTCAGTGCTGATTCACTGACTGGTAGCAATCCAATATGTTTAAATGGTGCACACATTCTGCACCAGAACTAGTTCACTGTACAGCACTGTCACTGATGAAGACATCTGCCATGTACAGGTCTGTATCCTGACTGGTTTGGAATATCTAGCACATCTAAGAAAATACTTACTCCTGAAAACACTGGATTAAAAAAGTAAAAAATGGGTGTCAAAATCATGTGAACATGGACCAGAAAGTCACTAGACTGTCCTATATGAAGGAAGTGAATTTACTGAAAGGACAGCAAAATCTGACACCCTTGCAGCATAACACCATGACAATGGAAGCACAAATGTCCATCTACAATAAAGAAATTCAACAGCCAATATTCTGCCGACAAAGTCGTAGCAAATGACTTCTAGGACACTCCAATTGGATGACAATTAACTGCTTGAATATTATAGGAATTGTGTGAGACACCATCAGCAAGAGGCCTGATTCTACCTGTTCCTCCCATTACAGCCATCCTTTAGCCATTACCATCTCTTTGGAAAGTAGAAGCAGGTGATCAGAAGGCACAAACTTGCACATGAGAAGCAGATCCAGCAGTATGTCTAAAGCTTACTGGGGTTCCAGAACACATTCTATGCAGCTGGGTTTATGAAGGTAATGCAGTAATAAAAAATGGGAAACTGGAGGGTAAACATACATACAGAGAAACCGAGGTTTCAAAAATTTTGCAACATGCTACCAGAACTTTGTAAAATTTACTGTATTAGTTTCAGTCACTAAAATGTTGTTTTAAAGCTTCCGTAATCATAAAAACAAAAGGCAATGAATATGATCCAGACTTAAACATTAACTTTATGAAATCATTCGCAAATTACAAACAATTTCAGTTATTCAAAAACCATTTTATGATTACATTTGTGTGACTATAGCTGAGCTGAAACATAAATCAATGCAAGTCTTTCAACATAGTACTGAATGTTGATGTGTTTGGTACATAGGCATACCTGCACAAATACATGCTACAACTAGCGATTTAACAGAAAGGATTCAAACACATTTTCCATCAATACACAACATTTTGCATTCTTTGGTTTACTGTGCCAAATACTTTTGTGCATTCTACATCAAAAGTTTCCTTTCCAAAGTTGCTAAATATAAATAATTATGGTTTTCTATGCTTTACTTCTGAGCACATCCACTTTTCATCACTTTGTATCACATTTTGAAACTTATGATTTTTTCATCAAAATATATTTAATACAAGCATTACTGTACCCCTGTTTCTATCCAATGATCCATCTAAGTTACAGTCAGAGTAGCAGCCAGATAAGCTTGCCAGCAGAAGGTGCACAGAACTTCATTCAGATTCAGCAAAGCCCAGCTCAGGGAGTGGGGAATGACATCAAGAAATTGGTACTTACTGATCCACCACTAAGACTACTGGGCATAAAAACCAAATCATGCTTCTGTACATCCTATGTCACTGGCAAGCTTATATGGGTTAATCTACTGTGATGTTGGAGGCAATGACAGCCTCTGAAATACCTTATCGCAAATGCACACTTACATGGCCAAGAATATGTCAAGTCACCCCCTCCCCCAACTCTGTTAAAAATTCAGCTACAAAACTAGCCAGAGAAAGAAAGTCTTTAAATTTCCATGAAATGCTGAACACGTATTTTGCTCAATTAAAGACTCAATAAGGAGTGATACATCTTTGCACTGGCTAATGTCATCTACAAACTAACGTACTTACAGATAATAAGGAATGACACATTATTTATGCTCTATAGTTGCAGACTTCTCATGCAGACTTTTTGTGCTTTTGCCTGCCTCTCTGAAATTTGAGTTCATCCACATAAGTGCTTGGCCAACATGAGACTAAAGTTTATAATAATTAAGGCATCAAACAATTATCAAATGAACAAATTTTGCAAGTACGTGGGTCATTACTCTGTGGATTGTGGATACCCATCCACAAGGCATCTTAGCCTGGACACAAGGAAGTGCACAGTATCCCAAAAAGATGTATACACATATCCAACAAATGAAATAAATACATTTTAATAAACTAAACCATTATATAAGTCAGCATTGGCACTTAGTGAATTAGCAAATCTAGTGCAGGTGTTCAAAATGCCTAATGTTAGCTTTGTGGCACAGCTGACAGCAGCAAGCAACTGCTGACAAGTGGGCATCAAAGATGTTGTGGTATCCAGCAAATGGCTAACAAGACTTGAGAGGAGTAATCTGTACTGGAATACACAGTTTCCACATGCAATCATTGCACCTCTGCCTAAGAGTACCAAGAGACAGTAAAAACCACACAGGTATCATTTCATCATAAGACTTATTCATGCACTCTTACCTACTATCTTCATATTCACAAAAGAAGCTGGAGTGAATTTAAATCCAATTTATGTACTTGCCATAATTATTATGCACGCATATATATTTAAATGTTTTCATTATTCTCTACTGATTCATCTGTTTATTGGAAATTGTCTGTTGAGGAAACTGGAAAACTTCAGAAACACAGACCTGACTTTCATTCTATACATATTACAAACCAATCAGCAGATGCAATGTATAGCCCAAGATATACACTGAAATGTCTCTTAACTTGTTAATTTTAAAAAGAGAATATTCATGAAAGAAAATATTTTCTTACTTTACAACTTTAATTTCTAACTTTACAGATCATGTGTTATTAATTCCTTGTGAAATAACACACTCATAACAATATAATACATTGCAAATTAGCTCTGCAGCAGTGTACAGGACTCATACACAGGCAGTCATGGTGTCGAATCCTACTTCAGTCAAGATATGTTACTGTTTTATGCAGCTGCTGCTGTTGTTCTACATTGCACAAAGAATCACTGTACCAAAGTTGTGTATTTTTCAAAGATCTATCACCATACATCACTGTATGACCCTATATGAAGTGGTGCTAGTGTTGCTCTAACCTCACAAGCTCATGCATCTGGCATGCTGGATTCACCAAACATATTAAATTAAAGAGTATGAGTTTAGAGTAGTGCCCGAAGGCATAAAATTCATTCCAAATCTCATCAACATCTGTCCAGCAATTCTGGAGTTGAATCATGCAGACAGACAGACAGAGAAGGTCACCACTATTTGCATTCGCTCTGTGTACATTGTGCAAGGAACATAAAGGCTTTATGAATCAAAGGACAAATAAAACAATATTATTGTAATAAATTGTATACCCCTAATTACATTTCCTATTAGGCAATGCAGTTTTAACCCAGCCCATTATGAAACCAATCAGCCATAACACCACAGATCATTTAAAGCTACACATCTAAATTCTGAAGAAAACCAACACACCCCATTCTCTCTTCTGTACTCCACATTAGCACCATTTAATGCAATCTGTCTTAGATTCAGGTGACATCGAACACTAAAACTGCAGACCACATTGTTGATTACTATGTCTATTTCTGGAGGCTCTGCTTCAGGTGTTTCTCCAGCAGCAGAACTGTTAGTAGTGATAACACTAGGTTCAACATGTTCTTCATTCACATCAACGTGATTAATGTTGCCATTTACGAGTGTTTCAATTCCATTATTTTGTACTGCTGTGGCCATCATACCGACCCACTTGCCTGTAACAAGTAAGACAGAAGTTAAAATTACATTACATGCAATCATTCATGTGAAAGCCCCTGTATGTATTCTATGATCCTTATTTCAGAATGAAGTAGTATAGGTTTATAATATGACCATGTTAGTATGTATAAATCCATTCAAGTGTAAATCCATTACACAGTTTTCTCATTCCTCTTCTGGATCCAAAAATCATGGAGTTCAAAAATGACATATGCAGTCACACATCCCATGTGCACATATGTCTGTACCTCCCTATTACTAGTAGCATTTGAATCAATGGATGCAGTTACATAAATCTTTGTGTCACTGTCCCATCACAAGCCACCCATCTTCATCCTTAATTCCCTACCAGCAGAACACAGCAGATGTATGAAGTTCTGAACTGAGCACTTAATATAAGTCCTGAAAAATTTGTGTGATGGATTTTGTAAAATATGCAGTTCTATTAAGGGAATCCAATTTGCAGAATCTAAAATAACCACATGGCAACAACACAAATAAGTATTTATCCTGCCATTTTTTTTATAAAAAAGTAGGAGTTTGAAGTTTGGCATGCAGACCTCTCAGCTTACAACTGAAAAATATAAGAAAGCTGGAATCTATACAAGAAACAGGCAAAGAGTTGAGCAGAGCATACAAAATTCTCAAAACACATGAGACCACATATATGAAACAGTGAAGATGGCTGTCTTCTGGGTTGTAATGTCATGCAGTCTTGTAGTAGTTTACCAATGTTTCAGAGGTACCTGCTGACTCCATCATGAGGTGCTCTGATAATGGCAACACCAAGCACCTCTGAAACATTGGTAAACTTCTATCAGACAACATAGCGTTAATAACCTAGAAGACAGTCATCTTCATATGCTGCCATGAGAACCTCAAACCATATATTTGAAACACTGTCCAGGCATGTAACAACAAACTATTAAACACACATTTAAAATGTGTGTCTGAACTTACTCCTGCTTGCAATATTTTTCTGCATGTGTAGAACATATTAAATAACAATTTATAGTCAAATAAGTGAGATGCACGCAGGAGTCCATATAAAAGTTGACGTCTCTGTAATGCCGAGTAAACAGATGACGTTTCCTACATAACAATAATTCTGATTAAACAGATCACGTTTCCTAGGTAACAACAATGCCGAGTAAACAGATGACATTTCCTAGGTAACAATAATGCCGAGTAAACAGATGATGTTTCCGAGGTAACAACAATGCTGAGTAAACACGACGTTCCCTATTGGATCTTACATTTTTTCGTTACATTTTTTTGCAAAATGACACTGACACTTCCATATAGACGTATTTACGTCAAAACAAGTGTTCCCCAAATGTATCCTACTCTTAATTTCATCATCAGCCTAATTTCTATTTGCTATTGTTGTTCCCAGATACTTAAACTTGAAAACATTTTCAAATGATGTGTTACTTATAATTATGTTCTGCCATTGTTGCTAATGTTGATCCCGTATTACGCCCATGTATTTAGTTTTATCTGTATTTATTACAAGGCCTATTGCCTTCCTAGTCTGTAGAAGAGTTTCTGTATTCTTGGTTATGGTACCCACACTATCTCAGTGTATGCATGTGTACACTTCAGAATGTAAAGCTAATGTTGGAATGACAAACTATCTCAGTTAAGCAGAGATTCTGATAATCATGTCCCCAGCTACCATCACTGTATGGTAATTATATGCAATCCTCCTATGCAAAGTTGCTTCCTTAGCCAGTGTAAGGAATTTTCTGGCCCATCAAAAGGAGATTCATAAAAATATTTTTGAATAGCCTGTTCTTAACTTGCAAATGATGGTTAACAGCATACAGATGAACCCTTCAGACCATCATAACATCCAGTGAAGACTTTCATTACACCCTGATATATAATTTATAATCTCTCTCACAACATTCCTTCATGCTTCAAAGCAGAGTAAAGTTCTAAATGAATTGAAATCTACCACTGAACCAGATGAATGCAGTGAAATTCAAATTTTTCTGAGAATTATTAATTTATTATGCAAGACAGAGCTAAAGGATACAACTGGAATAATACTTGGGCAACAATTTGCCCATCCTTCACTTACTTTAAAGACAGCATTCCTCCTGCAGTTACTCATAAAAATGTAACAGTTATTTCAGACTGCAGCCAGAATTTTCCAGTGACACACAGTGACTTTACTTACAGACAGTATCAACCAGCCCTTGAAGAACATAATTATTTCTCTGATAGTTCTGCAGTTCGATATAAAACTATAAAAAATTTCACCTCACATTATCCCAGGAGGACTCCAAAGTTCTGGCAACATGGCATTTCTTTGTCACTTCTCCTGTGAAGAGCACATATACTGGCCTTGGTGGAACTCTTAAAAGACTTGCAACATAAACTGCTTTGCAATGACATTATCTCGGACCAAATTGTCACTTCAAGGCAGCTTTTTGGATTGGCACATTTAAATTTAATGAACATGAATGTCATCCTTAATGGAAGAACAGCATAAAATTGAAGAAACACTGTTATTAGGAAGATTTTCTAACAGCCGGTCTAATCAGTGGAACTCAGAAACTACATACCTTTCTACCAATCAGAAATGGTGTTTTACTATTCTTAATAAGTTTAATGGCATTTGTCTGGAGGACTCAAGGAACTTTTTCTAAGAAAACCTTTGTGTAGCCAGTTTTTCAGCTGATATTCAAATCTGGTGACCTTCAGGTAATTTTTTTGCAGCTGACCTAAACTTGCTTCAGCATGAAGATGCTGTCTTCTGGGTTGTTGTGCCATATAGTCTGGTAGAAGTTTACCAATGTTTCAGAGGTCCTTGCTGCCTCCATCATCAGGGTGATGAGGAAGCCACAGCTCATAAATTATAAACAAGGCTACAAAACTGAACTTCATATGTGTGTTACAAGTTAAAAACAAAACTGCTAAGCACAAAATAGTTTGATGTAAAAGAACTAGGACAGCAGTATAGCTCATTTATTTATGATGATGGAAGCAACAAGGACCTCTGAAATGTTGGTAAACTTCTACCAGACTACAAGGGATTACAACCCAGAAGACAGCCACATTCATATTTATTTGTAGTTGTTTAACACTGTCAGCTCAGACTATACAGTGTTGAATGACAAAATAATAAGTGAAAGATAAGGTGAAAAGAACATGGAAAGCAGATGTCATGGCATGATAAACCAAACCAATATATTTCCACCCCTCTTTTAAATGGTCCTATCTTTCAAGTTAAAGATTTCTGAACAGGCATAACAGGCATATTAACTTGACAGTCTTAGCGAATGTACTAGTAAAACAATTAAAACTATCACACTATGTGCCATGTAGGTGCTCAGGAGTAGAGGAAATATAGCTAGTACTCATTCTCAGCCTCAGAAGCTTATGGAGGTGAATGATCAGTGTCACATCCCTGCTACAATTTATGCCTGGAGGAAGGACCCCTGGCACCCATTGGACAGCAGGGTAGGAAGACACCAGAACCAGTCTGGATTCAGTGACTAGAAGAAAAACCTCTACCCCTATCAGTAATCAAACCCTGATCATCCAGCCCATTGTCAGTCACTATACTGACTAAGCTACCTGGTTCTTAGAGACCGTACTGCAATGAGGAATTACCAAAGTAGAAATAATTTTTTGTGAAATTAATTTTCTTCCTTTTGGAATCACAATGAATACACTGAATATAAATTCACATGGCATTGGCATAATGTGAAACAGCTGGTTCTCTACTAATAAATTCTGTAAAAATGAAATTTCATGTAGTCCATAATGAAACCGATGTTAAGGACATAATTTCATTCCGATGTAACATCGAATTTAAAGAAAGAATAAATAATTCAATGAACTTAAAATTCAGAACCAGAGCGACAATGCATGACTCAATTGTACTTCCGCAACCAAACCAAACCTTTAAGAACCTATGCGCATGTAAATAAAATGCATCACTACTGTCTGTAAACTATGGTTAACCTACAAAGAAAAGTGCATAACAAATTCTAACTTGCATCCGATTAACAATTTTTACCATCTACACGAACAGCATATAAATAAGAAAACATTCACACAATCAACCCTTTACATACAATTGTCAAATGCAATACAAAATCAAGTAGCTTGTTAAACAGCAAGTACCGACCTAACAACGAAAAAAAGATCACTTTACCTCGGAAAGGAAGTAACTAATATAGCTAGAATCAGTGTAACAACAGTTCCAACCAAATTATTTTAAAAGGGAATATTGTTAAAGTACTTACTTCCTTGTTACAGGAAACACGTGTTTCTTCATAAAACACTTATAAATAATCACAGGTAACACACTTTGACTCAAAAAATTGTAAGCTCTAACCACCCACACTAACATTATTTTCCGCCATCATTACTACCACTGTCACTGCCTTCTATAAATGAACCAAGACTGCACTTATGGAATCCAACTAGCGACATCTATATTCACAGGCAATAAGAATCAAGATACAAACGCATGAAAAACAAACGTCATGCAAACAGATGGCTGGAGCGGGCATATTTCAATCTTGCACACCTATACCTACAAAGTTTGCTCTCCGCGGTTTTCATGGAAAAATTAGGGACGGAACCGAGAAAGATTCAGAAACTCCAGTAATATAACACCGTAGCGGTATCCTGCATGGGCAATTTCGAGCAGTTGTGTGATGATTGTCCTGCAACACGACTTCATGCTAAATGGATTTTGGGAGGTAGGATTCTCTGCCTCCATGCAACACGAAACTGATAGATCGAAAGGGGGCAGAACTCCTGAGGGACAACTATGTTAACCTTTAAAGTACCAGGTTATAATCCCGCATCCCGTGCTGGGCCAATTTAAATCCCACAATTACGTTACGCTGTGCATGTTTTTGATAAAACAATGCATCTTTCTTAAGAGTTTTCAGATGGTTTGATCATTTGAGATGAGGCACGTTACCAGTTGTAGGGTTACGTAAACATACAGCTTTTCAGGTATTGTAGCGGTAACGATCCTTCGCAGCCTCATGAGAAACCTCTCCATAGTGAAGAGTTTGGTGTGATCGTGCCTTATTTCTTTGGGTAAAACAACCAGGCCGTTGCCATGGATTCTGGGCGTTATTGCACCATGCTGCAAACATTTTTTGGCTACGGAACTACGAAGGTTGAAGCAAAGTATATGAAATATGTGGCTTCAACAGGATGGTGCAATGGCCCACACGGGAAGGCAAAGCGTGACTTTTCTTTGGGGAATGTTTCCAGGCCGATAATTTCACAAATTTGTGAACATTATTGGTTAGCATGTACCCTGAACTTGACAGCCCGTCATTTTCCTGTGGGCGTATCTGATGTCAAAAGTGTATGTTATCCTAATCCCATCCAAGAACTGAAACACAGCATTACGGAGGGAATTGGAACAGTCAATGATGTTATATTGCCGCGAGTTATGCAGAACTTCAGACACCGATTACGACATGTATCGAATGTCATAAGGTCATCTAGAACAAGTAATCTTCAAGAAGTGTTATGGATACTAAACTGCAGTCATTATGCTCGTTATTCCGTAAAATGATTAATTTGTTGTACAGTCTATGATAGTAGTCTAAGGAAAACCGCCACATCCTCGCGTCCTGCCGTTTAATCCAACGAATTATGGAGCAAACTTTATAATATGACGACTTGCATGTTGTCAGCCGTGTCGGTTGAGCTGGTAAAGAATCCACCAACGTTTCAAGAACTATGCTGTTCTAATCCTCAGGGCAACCAACCAAAAAGCTAACTATGGGCGGAATCCTGCGCAAGCGCCAGACATCGTCCTTGCTAGACAACCCTATTCCTGCCTACGAAAGTGCCATGTTATTTTGGACTTCAACAAAGGAATGAAATCTCCCAACCAGGCTACTGAGACATGCATTGGCTTGAATTGCTACAAAGTTGGCATTTTGAATTTCCTCCATCAATGTCAGCTTGTATACTTATGCAGCCCAGTAATTCATTATGAATTGTTTTCGAGGTGTCTTTCTTTACATAGCAACACTGCAAAGAAGTTAATCTAAACATGCCAGTTCTGACACTAGATCCAGGAATATTCCAAAATTGTAAGATGTATCACACAATCTAAAAGCAAAATGAAGGGATAATTCTTGGCAAAATAACGTAACACTATGCATTCATCTGGTTCGGTGGCAGATTTTTATAAGTAAATGGAAGAAATGCTGTCCTTAATAAAATGGCAAAGCGTGAAATGTTGGGTGAGCATTATTCCTTCAGCTTCATCTTGCAAAATGAAAGAATAATCCTTGTTCAATTGCATAACACTACACATTCACCTGGATCAAGGGTAGATTTCAATTCAATGAGAAATTTACTTCACTATGAAGCCATTAAGGAATATTGTAATAGGGCTGGTAATTTATCGAAGTTGTCAAGAAAAGTCTTCAGTGGATTTTATAATCTCAAGGGTTGAGCTGTCTGTTGTTAACCACCATTCAAAAGTTAACAGTTTCAGTAAAATTTTCTTCAAAATATTTTCAAGAATCTTCATTCCAGTGGGCCAAGATATTCCTCTCGTTCTCAAAAGAAGCAGTTCTGTATAGGAGAATAGCAGTTCACAATTGACAGTGATGGTAGCTGGACTTTTTTGGGACCAAGGTAGGAAGCTTTGAAAACCCAGCCTTCATTATAAGATAAGTTGACTTGAAATAAATATCTCCTTTGGTTTACTAACAACTAGTTGCCTTCATTCACGAGTGTTAATTCCACTGTCCTTAATAGTCATAAAGTCTTTTCTATCTGGCATCAATCTTCTGAACTCATCACTACAATAAAACTCTTTTAATGCATCTGCAACAGCTGCAGGGAAAGCTATTCTGAATTTGTAATTAGTTGAAGAGAAAATATACTATTCTTTCACAATGTCTTTAACTTTTAAAATCATGTAGATAGAAGATGTAACTTCACTCTTCACTTTCTTCATAATCCAAATTTGAGCAGAAGTGTTCAAATCTTGACCTTTTCACTTTCTTTTGTTGATTCAAGAAACTTTTCCTTCAAATAATGTCATATTTATAAACCATCATTTGTTTATGACTGGTGTTTCACTGTCAGGAAAAATTTGTAGCATTTTTCCAATAATCAATCTTATATTTTTGCCAGTTTAGCTATTGGGTACTTTTGTCTCCCCAAATCTTTCCACTGCCATTATATATATGTTCTTGACCACCAACACCATGTAGTTTATTGCAGCTAAGGAAATAAAATTGTAAAAACCAGTCGAACACTGGATGGTACCAATCTGAGTATATTATCATGTCTGCAGTCAGAATATTTGTATTAAATGCTCATGAAGGTTCAGACCATCCTTTGTAATTAATTCTTGCTTTCTTAAAGATACAGATATGGTTTGTGAACCATCAGCTGATAAACATCAGTTTCTGCATTTCAAGATAACAGAAGTGTGAAGAATTTGTTGCTCACAGGTTGGAAAATGCTTCTGGGGGGATCTTACTCATTTTGTATAGTTCTGTAAACACAGTGGTGGCTTTCTTGATATCCCATTTTGACTCCTCCAAACACCTAAAATGAAACAAATTCAAATATGGTATAGTTATCCCTATATCCCTGCAGATTTTGTTATAACCATCACCTACTTTCAGTAACAAATTTTTATTAATTTTATATAAGGATTACACACAAACACAATATATATATACGAGGTGCGATAGGAAAGTTTCAAGACTGCGCCTATAAAAACCCGTACACTTATCTCAGGTATTAAATTCATCCATCACCCTCAAAGTAGTTCCCCTGGGAGTGAACACAACGATCCCAGCGCCGCTGCCAAGCCTGGAAGCATCCCTGGAAATCTTTCTTTGTCACCATCTGCGATTCTGCCTGAATCTCTTCTATCGTCTCAAATCTCCTTCCCTTTAGCTGAATTTTCATCTTTGGGAAGAGGAAGAAGTCACACGCAGCTAAATCCGGCGAATAAGGAGGGTGCGGGATGACGGCCACGGTGTTTGAGGCCAAAAACTGCCGAACTTTGAGGGCGGTATGCGCTGGCGCGTTGTCATGATGCGTCGCATGTGGAGTTCTTCCTTTAGAATCAGCTGACAGGTCCCATAGCCTATCCCAACAATGTCGCACAAGTCGTTGATGGTACGATGTCGATCTTCGTGAATGGCCTGCCGAATCTTCGTAACATTTTCGGGCGTTGTGCTCGAAGATGGCCGTCCAGAACGCTCGTCATCATCGACAGAGGTTCGGCCATTTTTAAAACGTGAATGCCACACAAAAGTTTGTGCACGACCCATTGAGGACTCCCCAAATGCTTGCTTTAGCATTTCATAGGTTTCCGTAGCCGTTTTGGCGAGTCATTGGCAAAATTTGATGCACACTCTTTGTTCATGAAAATCCGCCATTCCGAAATCGCAGGAGGGTCGGTGTAATGCACTACCAAAACGCCCGTAACTAAGAAACAAATGCTAATTCGATGATGCCGGCTGGCACGCTGATTCACTATGAATGTAGGCCGCACCCCCTAGCGGCAGAAGCTCGTACTACATCCGGTTCGCCCTCTATTGACACAGTCTTGAAACTTTCCGATCGCACCTCTTATGAATCGGCAATCTCCTCGCTGATAAAATAATTCATATAAAATTTATGTCTGCTAAAAATGTCTTCCAAGCTGAACACATAATAGTGTACTCACTTCCTGGACCATTTAACATTCATCTCTGTCAGCTGGCTCAGGATTTTAGTTAAGTGTTCTTTATCAGATTCATTCATGTTCACTGGGTTGCCTGGAGTCAACTTTTGTCTAATAGGAGGTTTTGGTATCTTGAACGCTTCCTGAAATTAAAATTAAAAAAAGTGAATGGCACGCTTATTTTACAGTAAATGAAAGTTGAAGTTTTATTTTCCTTGTTTTTTTGTACTGTTACCAATATCAGAGTCAATAACTTAGGAAGATTTTCAGGTACTACCTACAGTCACTTTTTGACCATCATAAAGTCAAGACAATCATGAACTAAATTTTATCTTTCTGACATATTGAACCCTCATTTACTGGGCATACAATGCTACTGACACAAATAATGGCATAAGAAGTATGTAATAATCATATCAGTTACTAACCTCAGCCTCTTTCGTAGTGGCATTTTTAACATGCAGTGTTTCATTGGCTATTTGAAACTCACGAGGACCTATCTGCACCAGCACAAACACCCGACAGAAAGAGCGAATAAGAGGAGTCTTAATTGTTGCAGGTTCCCGAAACACACCAGTCACTGATATCAGAATGCCAAAAGCCTAAATAAAAAAAGAAATATTTTATGTCTGTTTCTATACAACAAACTCTGCAAATAAGCACAATACTTTGTAACTTATACTATACAATTCTGTTATTGAGTTATCCCTTCCAGTGTTATAATCTGACAGAATCCTGCCTGCACTGTGTCATGGTATAAATAAACTATATTATTGCCATTGCAAGCCAAAACTAGTTTTGTTCACTATGAATCCTTACAAAGAAAGAAGACTATAAAGTTGTAACCTGTATCAGAATACACAAGTGTTCTTTGCAGATTCTAAATTCTGAATTTTCCTAGCTGTAATAAAAATATATATAGAAGATTTTTGTCTTCTGGGTTATTGCGCTGTGTAGTCTGATCGATATTTACCTGATGCATTTATTGTCTTTTTTTCCTTCATTCACATTTGAGATTGACAGGAGCACAGTTGATTTCTCAATGTGTTATGATTGAAATTAAATGATTACTATGTAACACCTTTTGAGAATGTCTTGTTGTCAATTTGACCACTAGCTTTCGGATTCTTACACAAAGGTGGTTGTTTGTTTAATTTAATCTTCCGTGGTAACAGAGTCCCCCCACAAAGGTTGTGTGTGTCAGACTGGGAAGTTCCACTTTGATAGGAGCAAGCACAGGAAACGATAATATACAACCAGTTGCCTGTCAGTCTTGACAGAGTGTAGATAGAAACATGAATTATAATGCAATGGAAGGTGAACTTTGAACTTCAAATCCTGAGGAAGCAAAAGGTGAGAAACCAAAAGCACTCCTCCTGTGCTCAAATGTGAATGAATGAAGGAAAAGAGAATAAAAATACACACAAAAGAAATTACTTTTCATGACCATAATTAAAAAAAAAGCTTATATGAGAACTGAACCCAGGTCACCAGCAACATAGGCATGCATGCTACCAATTGAGCTATTGTGTCAATTAAAAAAGAATTATTATATTAGTCTTGCACAGTAATAGTGAAGAAAGTGCAGAATAAAATAGTGTATTACAAAGGAACTACACAGTGTCTACATCAAATATTTTGGCCAAGAAGTCAGAGGAGGGTCCATAACCATACTGCAAAACTGGAAGGTAACAATCAACCAAGCCCTCTTGTACATGTAGTTTACAGACTTCATTATACTGCAGTTTTACATTCTACATATAAGTGAGCTTAACAAAAATAGGAAATAATCTGAAAGATCCAGTCCTTCCTTCTTTCCTTCCTGTGGCTCTACAACCCAGTGTGGGTCTTGGCCACCTCCTTTTGGAGGTTTCTTAATCTTTGTGAGTGGTAAGTGACCAGCCCACTGCCTCTGCACAATTTCTACTGTCTTAATTTTGTCTGCTAAAGCCATCTAGTAGAGAATCAGAAGAGACATGAGTGAGAAATGGCTGCTGAATTTTGCTTACGAAACATCTCGTTCATGCTCATAAGGTTCTTTTACATGCTGTAAATCTTTGACATGGGACTGATGGCTTTACTTCCCCTCCAAAGGAAGTTATGCTATGGATTTTTATCACCCTTAAAAATCCATCGACCTCAGCCGGGTTTGAACCGCAAACCTTGGGTCCAGTGGCGAGCACACTAACTAGTCCACTGAGGGCAGCTGAAAGATCTATTACCATGCACAATTATAAGGGCCTACATTAAATGTTGTTACCAGTATACCCCATGTTTACCGAACATCGTGGCCGAGTGGTAAACACTACTTCGCATTCAGGAGGTCCTGGGTTCAAATCTCGACCCAGACACTGGCTATCCTGATTGGGGTTTCTTGTGTTTTCCATCAGTCCTTTCAGGCAAATGCTGAGATAGTACTTAAAATTAAGCCATGACCATTTCCTTCCACATCCTTTCCATTTCATTATTCATTATCATCCTCTCATTCAATTCTATACAGTTTGAGCTACTAAAATAATCATTGTTAAATAAACTATAAATAAATAACCCCATTTTTGTATGGCTGCTATGTCAGTATCTTTTATTAAAGGGAAATGAAGAGCATCATGGTAGCATGTCTTCACTGTAGCATGATGTTTTACACAGTTGCACTAAAATCAATAATTTAGTTCAAAGCTACATATTCCTTATAAAATAAGACATTAGGCTTAAAATAATCTGCACGATTGACTACTAACACCTTAACAAGTAACGTTACAAACAGTTTGCTTACTATGACCTTTTACTTACAGAATGCACAAGGTCTACTCTAAAAGAATAGGGATCATGCTCTGATCTAGGAAGCTTGCAGAGTGTTGCTAAGATTGCCTCTGATCCATGATACAGTAACTTCAAACTCTTGGTGTAGTCACACAGCTTCAGAAGATTACGGCTCTCAATAGTGTACTCTGTTAACCTGCAAAAGTGGTCAAGAAACTTAATTTGCAAGAAGAAAATGATCAAGGGTTCACTAGTACACACATACTACCTCCTTTAGAATAACAATGGGTCAAAGCTCTGAAAATAACACAAAGAAAATATGCTTCTAAAGATGTCATGATGGCTGAGCATTTGTGTTAACAGTATTTTGGATATTTTAGAATCTAGCCATGTCTCTTTCTCCAGCCTAAAGGAAAATGTATTTATTCTGTGAGGATCCTTAGACAAAAATAGTTATCAGATGGAAATGGAACAAATCAGAAATAGGTTACTAATAATTAAAATAACAGTGAGAAGCAAGCTGTTCTCTTCCAGTGCTAACTGAGCCCAACAGAATATACTGACCTAAACAAAGGTCTGTAAAAACAGGAAGTGTTTCTTGTCTCTGTTATGGATCTGATACAAGAACATATTGAGGGGTTGAACTGTTTAATTAAGGGCAGAATTTTTGTGTTCCAGTAATATTTTATGAAAAATTCACAAAAAACAATTACTGGTAATATGGGCATATTACACTTCTCTATGTTTAAAAACACTTATTATTTGATTCTGTCAAGTTTCACAGCAGAAATGTGTATGTATAGTATCTTTATTTCCTTCTGTCTTTCTTTATACATGGGATCTATTTATGAAATACCATAAATTTTTAGCTGTACAGAGATGAGTCAATTTGGGTCAGTAGATCTGAGAAAGGGATGCATAAGAGACTTTTTCACTTTACACAGGGATATTTTTCTTCAAGGATGTGGTTCATTAGGAAGAACTGTTTAATCCATTAACTGACCTGGCTGTGTTGCTTGTGCTCTGTGCAGGTAGGTACGTGGCCGTTAATGAGAACAAAGCATCACTATGGTATAGCCCTTCCAATTTCTTACGATTACTACAATCATACAATGTGAAGTAGTGTCTGATGAACTGATCTGCTAGACTGGAATCTTCAGGTGGCAGGAGGAAGTTGCGTCTAGGCCGATGGAAACCAGGTGGACCCAGCACTACACCATCCTACAGGGGGGCAAAGTCCATTCTCCAGGGTTTTATGTTAATTTTACAAAGTCATTCCATATAAAATCAACACAGAAAACAGACAATTTCAACCTTACCCCTCAGAAATGAATGATTTTTATGAGATTTTAGTCCCAATGGAGGCAAGTATTCCTGCCAAATTTTACTAATTTATGGCTACTAGATTTTTGAGCAGACATCTGTTGTCAAAGAATCTCATTTCTTTGGGCAAGAGTTGTTTAAGAAAAAGTGGTATAACTTTAACCCTGAGACACATAGCTCATTTTAAAGTTAATAAAATGACCTTTTCAGTAATCTATTACACCAGTATATTCAGCACATTTATGTTTTCAAGGTATTCAAACATGATTTTATCAAAATGTGATATTGTCATTTTTTTAATTTACTGTGTGCATGTAATTATAATTTAAAACATAATAAAATATCAAGCTGGGATTATAATGGGATTAGGCTTTGTGAAGCAGTTTACTGTGAAGAGTTACTTCACTCATACTGATGAGGGAACTTCAAGCAACACATGAAACCCTTTTGTTTCAGCTTGCAAAATGAAAGAATAATTCTCAGCAAAGTTGCACAAAACCAAAAATATACCTGACTACAGATTACATTTCAGTTCTTTGAGAAACATATCTTGCTGTGTTACAATGAATGAATAACGATGAAGTAACAATTTTTCAAGCAATTATTCAATGAATTTTTCAGTTGAATTTACAGTAGTTACTAATTCACACCTGTCTGTGAAAATCTACTGCTTGAAGGTGATGTTTTCAATTGCATTGTCAGTGAATACAACTTCTAATGTGTTTTCTAAATTGGTAGGTCCTGGACATTAACTAAAGTCATGGGGAAAAAAAACTTTGCAATTTGTCAGAGGCAGATTGCAAATCATAGTTGAGAGACAGAATCAATATGTACAAAGGTAATGGTCACTGCTTCTTGTTAGTATAGCTATTTTGCAGGCTTCCAACATTAACTTCACATTTTGGTGAATTGTACATACACATACACTGTGTGTACCACTTAAACCTATCATAATACAGTTTCTAGGACACAGGGATGCAGACTGAAACACCTACTTTGACTCCTGGATGTGAATGTTTAAAATAAGTGTATAAATCATTAAAATTGCACAACATTTATGTTAATTTATTTAGACACCACTGACTTTAACTGATGTCATCTTTTTTATCAAGCATCACTCTATTAATTTCATCATTGTTATAGAAACTTTTTACAACTTCAACAGTAACTTCATTTAAAGTTTTGCCTGGTCTGGGATTAGGAGAAGACAAAATGTCCTCATCCATAACAAGCTGCTCTGTTTTCCTAATCATTTTGTTAGAAGCACTTAGGTAAATTTCTCGAAACTTTCCGGATACTCCAAACTGAGCACTTTGTGTAATCTGTAATCAGCCCCAAATCAGTCCTCAACATGACAAATCTGGAAAATATATGGGTATGTTCCTTCTATATACAGCAATGATAATGAAGAAATACAGATTGGCTTTAGTGACAAATTTTGAATGGGAAAGAATGTCAAATTATAGGGAATAGATCCTTGAGTTTACACTAATAGATTTTGGCAGCAGGGTAAGGTAAAGAACACAAATTAAATTAAAAAAATTAAATCCGTGGCATAACAGCTCCAGAGAGCCAAAGCCGACTAGCTTGACTGCTGGCCTCACGTTCACATGCCTAAGCAGAGGTGAACGATCATCCAACCAGATATAGGGTGACGTGTGGTCAGCACGACGAATCCCCAGCCATTGCTAGCTTTCTTGACCGGATTACGCTACTCATTGTAGCTCCCCAATTTCCTCACGATGCTGGGTTGGCACCGGTCCCATACACCAACCGAAAATCTCATGAGAAAATTTCTTCTCCCCCGAGACTCGAAAAAGCACGCATTCCGTATCACCGATCTGAAGCATGATGCCTCAGACCGCGCGGCTACGGCGCGGGACAAAGAACACAAATTACACCTTGAAAATATTTCTCTACTTTTCAATAATGAATTCTGGAAGATAACAAAGTCAAACTAAAATGTAGGACAATTCATACCAGTAATAAGGTCAACTCTTATGCACAACAATTATGAAATTTATATTCGTACTGAACCAATGTCTACATAGTGGTCTTAGAAACAAGTGACAGTAGACAAAATCTGAAAGACCACATGGTGTCACTACCCAGGAACCACAATCCACATTTTTACTGCCATTAAAACGTAAAACATTTGGTGAAATTTAAAATCTATTCTGACATTATGCAGATATTACAGATACTGACTGCCCTATGTTCCATGAGGGACAACAGGAATTGATGATTATGACATTGTTATTATTATTAGTGTTCTGTCTGACGACAGGTCCATATATTACAAGGCGCGTCCCAAAAGTAAGTTTCCCACTCGTCCCACAGCTAGCAAACCTTATATTGCGCGAAGCGACTGTGCGTACGTGATAGAGCAATGACGTAGCATGGCGCATGCACTAACGGCACCTCCCGCGTTCTCACAGTAGCATCGTTGAAGATGGAGTTTCTTATTCCAGCTCCCGCCGACTGTGAAGTGCGGTCAGTGATAACGCTAAGCCGCACACGGCTCGACGGACAGCAAGTCTCCTGCAGGAGTTCAGCTGGGAGGTGTTTAATCATCCACCCTACAGCCCGGACCTCGCTCCCAGTGATTTCCATCTTTTCCTACACCTCAAGAAATTCCTGTCCGGTCAGCGTCAGCGTCAGCGTTTTGAGAATGACAGAGAGGCGGAGATGGCTGTCACACAGTGGTTCCAATCCCAGGCGGCAGACTTCTACGACACAGGTATTCAAAAGTTGGTCCCACGGTATGACAAATGTCTCAATTCCGGTGGCGAATATGTTGAAAAATAGCTGGACACTTGCTGTATCTGTTGCAATAAATATTTACATGAAATTGTGTTTTGTTTCTGTAAACGGAACCAGGAAAACTTACTTTGAGGACGCGCCTCGTAATAAAATCTTTTGTGATCACGTGCTTTAGTTCTGAGTAGAAGTCCAGTATTTTGGAGACTGTCTTCGTCGCCAAAGCATGATATCAAGTGTACATGCTGTTTATACAGATCCGTTGAGGCTCCGCCTTCTTCAAGAACAGTTGTCACGTAAAGGATGGAAGGATAATGGGTAGAGTCAAGAGTAAACTCATATTTGTACATCAGCTTGATGGTGCAAACGTGTTACTGCATCTGGAAAGCCAAGCTGGAATGACCCATCTGGTGTTGTTCTGACTGAATGTTGCTGAACTTTGGGCATCAGTGGAGCTGTTCGTGACGGGTTTCAGGCTCATCTTAATAGGGTAACCTATCTTCATTTTAACATGTATTCTCTGGTTTCTTTCTGTATTGTGTTCTGCTACATTGGATTTGTCTGGTTGGTGAAGGCATATGTGAGAACTATGTCCTTTGAATCTGCCTTTTGTGGTGCGTCCCATCTGTTCATCAACATACACCTTAGAACATTCACATGGAATATGGTATATGCCCAGAACATTTCATCCTTGGTCGTGACCTGCTCATACATATATACATTCTTGGCAGATGATCAGAAGTGGTTTGCCATTGCCTTCTTCTGTGTGTGTGAGTGGAGTAATTGTTGGGATGCCACGGAGAAACCGGGGAAGCCCCCGGAGGAAAACTCTGTGATGCCTAGACCATGGCCTTGCCCAACACAAGTTATAAATCTGAGCACCACCGGGAATTGAACCCGGGACCCCAGGATTACAAGGCCAGTGTTCTGACCACTAGACCACCGTGGCGGCGATTATGACATACTGACTAGAAAATTTGAATGCAATTTGATTATACTTGTAAAAGTTCTTGCAACTTTAGATCAAGCATATATTTTTTATGAATTTGAAGTCATATCACCTACATTATCAGATTACATAAACTGGTTTAAATCCTCTGAAATTAACTGGTTAAGAACACTGCTCGCTGCAAATCCCTTTCAGAACAGGTGAAGCCAAATTCCATGACACAAGATGAATACTACAATTTGATAGGAATTACTTATGACTGTATATTAAAACAACTGTTCAATATAATTTCTGGAGCAATATGATACATGAATAATATAACGGGTCAAAAATACATCCCATTGATCTGAATATGCCTGTATAAAATTGGATTTTCATGACACAATGTTACAGGTACAAAATAGAATATTGATTACTGCACCAGACATAAGTAGCATTCTCCACAACATATTATAAACTTTGGATAATAAAAGCAAACTTGATTGTTTCATTAATACAAAGTATAACAGTACAAAGGCCTTAAACTTTATTTCATTGTGACTGGGAGTTCTAAATGTTTCTGCAGACAATTTATGGTAAAGCCAAGATCTAGTAAAGTTTTAATGTTTCAGTTACTTACCAGTTTCAGAAGTGATGGTAAAAGTCGTCTCACTGCACTAGAACAAAAAAGGAATATGGAAGTCCATGAAGTCTGAAAGCGTTAGAGGCATTAAAAATACTCAATCAGCTAATTCCATGAAGCAGAATTCTTCTTAAGAAGCTAATAGTATGCTCATCTAGTGAAAAAATTCCCCATATTTTATGAAACATGAAGGTTCATTACTGTGCTCAAATGTCAACTAAAATTGAACATCACTGTTGATCAGAGATTCACAAACAGACTTAATGTGGTCTACCACAGGAAGAAATAAATGACACAAGGAATACAATTTTAATTTCTAATAAACTGGCAAAGAAGACTGATGATTATGAGCCATCACAATTATCCTTCCCAGCGGCTTACTCCAAAAATAAAATTTTCCATCTTTATGGTTTCCTTAAATATCTTCTTCCTCTGAGGTGGTATTTTGTATTTTCTCTGGACGCTATTAGAGCTCATTTTCAACATATTCTTCCCAATTTCTTCCAAAGTACTCTATAAAATACGATATTTGGGAAATGTTGTAACTCTTGACACCATTTCATTTCTTTATTGTCAAAAGGGGTATAAAAGGCAATGAAACATCGCTTATAAATTAGCTTCTCCTACTGTTATCCTCTAACTTTTTAGTGATCTACATAAGGAATTTAAACTTAAAAGGCTTTGATGACAAGTCAGAGGAAAATAAGTTATATCACTAGACCTACTAGAGGAAATGCCAGCACACCAAACCTGTTGAGAGGCTCAAAATGTAGCACAGGGTATTCAACATAACAAATTATGATAATGAGTTCATTTTGATAAGACAATGCATAATAATGACTAAGTACATTCTGGACCGTGGTCACCAACATTTCTAGGAACCTACAATCTCCATCTTCACTTTTATCCTGAAGACAGCCAAAAGGTTCCTACAAAATGTTGGTAACCACCTACAAGACTACATGCACAATAACTCAGAAGACAAAAACTGAAGTGTTCACCTCTTTGAAAACATCAAATTTTACAAGTGCATTCAGTCTTGTCTCAAGGACGAGGAGGAAAAAGTCTTATAGTTAAGAAGAAATACAACACATCCATTAAGAAAAAAAATACATGAATTAAATTACCTGATATAAGGATACTCGCTGTCAAAGTATTGGCAGAGAGGATTTTGATCTAGTAGTAGCTCACACAGCTTTATTGGCTGCAAGACTGCTAGATCCTTCACATATTTCACCTGCAAGAACATTTTTGGATTTAGAAAACTTTAAGTACTGCATTCAGAAATGTTGATGTCCTGGGATCAACTAGATGATATTATAAAACCTTGTAACAATGGTGATTTGTTGGTGTACCAGGAATACACTGGATATAGTTCAAGACCTGGAAAGTGGGTTTTTAATTGTCATAATAAAACAGATGATTTAACTTTTATAACTGACTGACCCAATAATTGATTCACTGATTTATGGAAAAAAAAGTAACATAAAAAATCAAAACTTGGACTATATTAAAACCATTTTAATGTTCAGTATTTTCCCAAATATAAGACAAGTTTCCTTACTTTCCTTCAAAAATGGGGCCATCCTATATAAATAAATTAAGAAACATGCATAAAGAAACAAATGCAATCCAGTGGTTTCTGGGAAAAGAAATATACAATGAATATTAAATGCCATTTATAACGAAAGGCTAAAGGTTGGTTCAGAATACTTTCCTTTTTAGCTGAACATAGAAGAGTTTATGGTCAGTTGGCCCAGATTATTCAGTAATGCTACATCAACTACTAAGATTATTTCCCATAAATCAGTGAATCAATTATTGGGTCAGTCAGTTATAAAAGTTAAATCATCTGTTTTGTACAGTGAAGTTGAAAAGACTGGGTAAGAAACAGTTAAAGCCTATGAAAGGTGCTTTCTGCATGGAACAAATGAGAAAACCCACACACACACACACACACACACAAAACCTTCATGCCAGTGTTTTACCTGCCAGCATTTATGTCAAAGTTTTGGGGTAAAAATTTCATCCAAATAAATGACAATGTATACACAGTGCTCCGTGAACTTGTTTTATATTATCTGAAGATAAATTAGTCCAAAACAGCAATCTGATTACCATGTTGTGCCTGAGGTCTAGCTTTGCAAGTAACTTAAACTGCCACAGGGCCTCAAGAGACTTCACAGAATGTATGTCATTGTGAGACAAGTTGAGGGATGTCACCAATGGAAGCGCAGATTTAACGGCATTCAACACATATTGGAGGATCTTGGGTTGTGATAATGGGCAGAATATGAGATCACATAAATCTGTAACAAAGACAACGGTTTTCTCTACTGTCTATATGAAATAATAATCTCTCTATATAGTAAAAATTTAATCATGCTGCATGACACTGTGATAAAACAAAGTGTCTTCTTGAAATAAAGCTATAAAACTTTAACATACATTTTTATTTCACTCTGTATTTTAAGGCACCTTTGTCTACTATAAATCAAACAACTTTCTTCCTTCTTATGGAAAACCAAGGTTATTTTTTCTTTCTTTCATACAATGTCCCCAACAATATCAGCCAAAATGCTGACGCTGAAACAGACATGATACCCACATTCGTGGATAGCATGAGGATTATCCTGTGCTCAGATTAGACTGTTGTGGATGTTGAACACACTCTCACACGTAAAACATGCTTTGTCTGTCCACAGATTGTTGAGAAAAGAAAGCTCATCTGCAGCGTAATGATCTAGCCATTCGCAAAACTGCATCCATAGGGGACAATCATATGCAAACAGATGTACGCTAAGCAAGTAGTGTACGGATGTAATTAATCGTCATGAAGTATGTAGAGGACCCTCGGTTGGGACAGCTCCAGTTCTCGTGCGATATTACGTGTGATCTTCTCCGTGGCTCTCATTCCACAACTGCAAGTATGGCATCCGTACAGTCCAAGGGCGACCTACATTCACATGAGCCGTAGGTGTTGCACGTCCTGTTTCACCAGTCGTAGAAACACATTAGCGTTGACCAGGATAAGGTAGCATACTCCCAGTGCAGTAGAACCAGCTTGACCCTTACAGGCACTGAGGGTTATGAGCACGTCACAACATTCGTCGTGTGTGTGTTGCACAATCATTTGGTCACACCTGAGCCCTGCTGTGCACTTTGTGTCTGGAGTACTGCTAACAACGCGCTTTCTTTCATCATAACAACGCTGCTAAGAAGTGTGTTACCCTATTTGGCAGTGATGTGTATTTTGTAAACTAAGTGTCTCAGTACTTTCGTTGCATAACATTTTTTAAATTTTTTAACAAGTAATCACACTATGGAGCACGCTGGGAATTCAATAATTTGTTTACTTTGTAAGACTTGAGGTTCTCACAGCGCAATAACCCAGAAGACAGAAATCTTCATTTGTTTACTTGTCAAAGGTGCACTGATGAAAATGAACATTTTTAACCTGTACTAGTTTTCTGTGACTTACCATTTACAAGACAGGCAATACACAATACCCAAAAACTATCATGAGATTCAGACCAATCCCTAATGCCACTTTTCCTGGATTGTGATTTTCCTGAACACTAATGGTCCTTACATGTGTACTGAGTGTCAGATCTTAAGACATGGCAAATGAATGGACTAATGGGCACTTGTGAATTATAATGTACAGGCAGAGAGAGGTCCATTCTTTTTCTTATGGCTGTTTGTAGAGCAAAATTCCAGCTGGGATGTGGTTTCTCTTAGACAAGACAAAAACATGTTACTCTATGTTCTAACTGGAGGATCCATTAAAACTAGAAAAATGTCTTCAGTACAGCTACTTTACTTACCTGATTATAAAAGCTGCTGAACATTATTTCAGACTGACATAAATTTTGTGATACACAACAAGAAGTCAAACATATGAGATTTCTGGAATAACAGTCCAAAATTTGATCTATAAAGCTTCCAATGTGTATGAACTTTCTGTTTCAAATTTCCCCACAATGTGACAACTGGTCCTGTACTGATTACTTATCAGGAAAGGAACCCAGTGGGTGGGCCCACAGGGGCTAGAGGAAAAATCATCTGCTCCTGTCAGGGATTGAACCCCCGTCATCCAGCCTGTAGTCAGCCATTCTACTGACTGAGCTACTCAGCTCATGGAATTTTTTTATATAACTTTAAAAATACCATTAGCTTTGTAATGATGAATCTGGATACTGCTGGAAACATTTACAGATACCTGTCACATGATCTATTTCTTCTAATGAAATTCTGATCAAGAAACATACACTGTTCAATGCTGTATCTCACCATGGTTGGACACAAACATGAAAAATCCTAAAAGCCAACTGCTCATAGGAAGAAACATGCAATGACTGAATTGCACACTTCTTCTCAGTTTCACACTCTGTTTATGTCAATGCACAAGTGGCAGCATGCTAGCTGCCTACCAATTAAGTGACTGTTTATGTTGGCCAAACCTCCATGTATGTAACATGAAGGGCATTGCCAAAAATAATAAAAATTATCTGTGCTACCATACCTGGATCTCTGTGATAGTTTGAAAGATCAAGATACTTTGTGTCTTTGTTGAACCTCTTTCCAATCACTTTAATCAAGTTCCACTGCATATTAAGATGGATATCATTGATATGAGCAAATCCAAGCACAATTCTAAGTGTCAGCTGTTAAAACAAAAATAAAAATATGTTTTCAGCAAGTTTTGCTACAAATACAAGTAGACATTGAAGATAAAAACATCAAGGAAGTGAAGGATTAAATAACATGTAAACAGATAATTTTTTCAAATGACAAAACAGAACAGCTCCAGAGTGTTGTACATCATGGATGGAACTGTTCCTCCAAATATTTGAAGTGTTATAACATCAAACTTAAATAGTAAAAGCACAGTGATACATAATTAATGAGCTACAGCTCTTGAGTTAAAAGTATTAGAATCATAAACCCAGAATGGTTCTCAGACTAAAACAGACATTTTGCAGAAGTGAAAAATACTGTAGACTTACACTAGGACCATTGGGAATGTCAATCACCAGACTCGACCGACACAACCTCTCAATGGCTGTCCCACAATTGCGGGCCAGAAAGCAAGTGTCCTCTCCTTCTTCTTTATACTGGAAATTACAAACACCATGTCAAGAAATAGCAAACTATCATACACAATCGCATCTGTAACTTAAAGAAAACTGATATTAATCCTTTCCAATCCAGTAATGAGGCGGACTCAACAACACATTTTGTTCCACTAGATCTAATACTGAGTTCAACTTGACATGCTATTTCACTAACAGTTTCTTCTGCCCTCAAGTGAAGACTCCAACCACCTATAAATGGCCATAAGAACTATTTGATGTTTACTGCTGAAGGAAGTGCAAAGTGAAAATTACCCTCAAATTAAACAACTGTATGTCACTACCCAAGCAACAGCCATGTTAGTTTGTTGCCAGTTAGCAGACTGACAATAATCTTATAAATCTGTGTTATGCTCTAAATTACAACAGCTAAAAGATTGAAAGATGAATATATAATCAGAGTAGTAAATGACAATGGCAATGTTCAGAAAGATTAATTTAGTGACAGATTTTTAAATTTCCAAGCAATCAATTTTGACAGAATTAATTTGGACCAAACAACAACTCACAAATATATTGAAGTGGAAGGGGTTAAAGAAGAAAATTAAAAATTAGCAGATTAGGTCTACATTATTACATGTATTATGATTTGTATTAGAATGGAATGACATTTGTATTTTGACCAAAACATTAGTTATGCGAGGATTTTCGTGGTACGCCTTAATCTTTCCTGGTATGTGTTCAAATAGTATCTTACCTATATCTGTATCTTCTGCTAACTTTTGCAGTTAATAATAATATGCAATCATCCTTTCTTATTGCCTAAAACTATATAATATTTGAGATTCATACAGTACTGTAAATAACATCCAAATTATCACAGATAATAGAGAAAATGTGACCATGTTTCGCATCCATACAAAACAACAGGCAGAATTATTGTTTTGTATATGTTACTCTTCAGGTTCTTAGAAATCAGGCGGGAAGACAAAACATTTTTAACTGAGAAGTAGCAAGCATTTCTGGAATTTAGTCTCCTCCTAACTTCCTTATGAATGTAATTTTGATTTGTTATTGATTAAAAATACAGTAAACATAAAAAGAAGCAAAGGAATTACAGAGAAAACATTAAATTCCTAATCTTATAAATTATGGAAAAATGTTTACAGTGTTTCTTGGATAATAAGTTTTACCATATAAATTTGGTTCTCAATGTCCTGCCAAAACACTCATAGAAATAACATTAATATTTCTCACGTAAAGATCTTACATATAATGTTTTCCCGCTTAAGAAGTTCATCTTGTAACAAACATTTTTAGAGAATTTCCTAGTTTATGCATTCAAAAGTCATGTTTACATAGTCTGTAAACATAAAATCCAAACTGACAAAGGTCATACATGCTCAACTGAATGAATGTAGTGGCAATGACTCAATGACTGTTCCATAAGCCTGCTCAATGAGGTAGATCACATTGTTTCATAAAAAATGTAACAAAAATTTCTCTTATAAGAAGCTTTTTCTTGTTGGTCTGTTAAAGACCTTCTTGTCAGGGAAATAAAGTTGTCAGTTCACAGGATATTTAAAGATATTACACAAACTGAACAGATTATTTTGTGCTATTACATATTACACATATGGATCAGAAAGGACTGGAAAGAAAGAAGTTATGGCATACTTTAATGTACTACCTAGCATGTGCCTGGAGGGACTGCTTATGGACAGTTTCCTACATTATACAGACACATTACTGTATGCAGAATGTTGTGTTCTTACCATTACTGGAATAAGATCTATCGGATAAACAGCATCCATAATCACTTTCAAAATGAACTCCTTATCATGGATACTGCCATTCAGAATCTGAAATAAGCACATCAATGTTACAAATCTGAAGGATTAAGTAGAAGGAAGTACAAAACAAACACAAACACTGCAAATATAAGGAATCTTTCTTCCTCCACTTATCTCTCTCTCTCTCTCACTCACACGCACACAGTAGGAAAGTTATAATTATCCTTCTTCAACAGAAATGTGCTAAAAATATGTAAAGAAAAATATTTTAGAAACAGATTTCAGAGGTATATACTATAAACAGAAGACCTCTAGCATAAATAAATCCACTGACCATCACATCATACGTAAAATAAAATTTAAAACAAAATTTACATGCTGTTAACGGTGTGATTGTCTAGTGCAGGGGGTGGCAACCTCTTGGCACTGACAGGCTGCAACACATGACTCATAACGTGAGCCACATGACTATCAAATAAGAAAATGAGATAATAGGTGCAGAGGTACATTTATTATTTCTACATAACTCTTACATATTTATTTGAAATCATTACAGTTTTAAAATTATATTTTGACATAAATGATTAATAACCAGAAAATATAAAACAAAGTTGAAATGTCAATTACTTTCTTTTACAAAAATACCAAGGCACTACTCAAATTTAATATTTTAATAAAATTAATTTTAAAATCAGCCTAGTAAGATTTCTGAGGTTGCATGTCACCAGCAAATTTTTGGACATCTGCTTTGAAAATGGAAGAAGAAAATTGTAACACAGCATGCAAATGTTCATTAGTAACCCAGCAATTTCATTTCAAATGTTCTAACATCAGAAAACATGACAAACAAAACTGTTGTGTCAAACCCAGTCCGCTGCTGAAATAACATAGTCCATAATACCCTTCAATGAAATAATTTGGCAGCATAATGTCTCCTGGTGAATGATACAGTGAAATACCACTAGGGTTTCATAACCAACTTGCTTCACTTTCTTTCACATTCACCATACTACACCGGTCTTAGAAGCACAAATGATTTTGCCCCCATCATCCTGTACTTTCAAGAACAAACCCTCCACTTACCACCTAGTTCTTCATGAACCGTGGCCACCTCACATATGGGAGTTTTCTTCCCCAATAACCAACAGCCACTGTGACCTTTAATATTAACACATAATAGTCCAGCTGTGTTTGTGACATTACCATTTCTTCACTGACAATTACAGAATAAATTAATGCCAGGATACCCATGGGTGTCGAAGTACATTTATGTACAGCTAATGATAAAAAAAACACTCAGTAGTTCAACAAATTCTTCTCGAGCTACCAGTGTATCAGATGGTTGAAAGGCAAAAATACCAATGTTTCAAGAACCATCTTTTACCTCATCATTGGGGTACTTCAGTTTGAAACAGTGTTTTCACCTTTCAGCCACTTGACACAGGTCTTAGCCCAAAAATTCATCATACTTAGTTGCCGTGAAAGCTTCAGATCATATATAACTCATTAATTACTTACTGCAGTTTGCAGCAGTACGCTATAAGAATTAATTACATCTTCAGTTAACACACCAGTAACAAATCTGACTTGTATTTGGGGGGGAACCGTCCCAGTTCAGACTCTGAAAGACCACCTACTGAGGTTTTCATGGTTTCTATGAGGAAATGCCAAGACAGTACCTTACAAACTCATATAAATCACAGCACTTGATTCATTATTTGCCATCATCTTACTTTATGCAACAAAACTTCAACAGCTGACAATGTCATAAACTAACTATTATGATCTTAAAACACCGCATACCGTGAAGTGTTGAATATCTAAAATATAAAATTATGCATACAAACAAAACTGTTTACACTTTAAAAAACACTTCATGCAACGCGCGGTTTGATCTCATGAGGTCATCATCAGTGTCAAAACATATTAATTCAGTACATTAATTTAATCATTATTCCAGCTGTGTGCAGCTTCTTTTCTTATCCATAGATGTTGTATAACTGTGTAACTGTAAAGTGATCATTTTTTAAAAATGCATTATAAATGTATGTTGCTTTATGAAACAATTAATTAAGGTCTAATAGATACATTAACAAACCATGAACTTGTGCCAGCAATCTTTCCTATTAATGAAACAGCGTTCCATGCAATATGAACTTCCCAGTATCACAGACAATGCATTTGAGCTGTCCAACACTATATAGTCAGGTTTCTTCTCTTCGCTAAGTGCTGTAGATGTCAGATTAACATGAATCATCTTTAGCCACTGTCCTGAAACAAACCACTATAAACGGTAAAACTACAAAATAGTGTAGCAAACATATATTTTCAAATGTTCACTTAAGTGCACTTTGATTGCATGTACTGATGTATTACGTTCTTGATTATATGGGTTCTTACTTCCTCAACTTCCTGTTTCTCCCAACATACCACAGAAGGTGAAGGATACCATGAAAAACACTTGTAACAGAAACAGATACACAGAAAGATAAGAATAATTTATCTACAAGCACCTGTAAATAGGTGTGGTCCCCTACCATAAGGGAAATGACTGCTGGGAAGATTAAGCACTGGTGGGAGGATAATATTAAAATAGAGCACCACAGTACCAGGATGTAGATAAACTACATTCTTCTGGCTCTGGATAAGGTCCAATAGATTGCTGTGAGCACTGTAATGAACATTTGGATTTCAAAGGTCAGAATATCTTTAACAGCAAAGTGACTGTTAGCTTCTCAATGACATGGAGGTAGTTAAAACCATTAAGTACTGAACATTCTAGCACTCAAAACTGGTACATAAACATTTTTGGTAATTGTTCTTTGATTCTACTCATTCTGCCCCAACAGTTCTGAAGTACACACATAATTACTCGGTGCCCACTATGTCATTTTGAATTTATGATGACTATTTCACTCTCTGATAATTATACTAAATCAGCTTTGGATACATTCATCAATACAAACTGCATTCTCGTTACTTACACTGTCACGCTTTGAATGACAAGAACGTTCCTCGCAGCAATTCAGTTCATTAGGAACTTTATTCCACAGATAACAACAACATACATAATACCAGAAGCCATGAATTTAGAATTACTGGAAATGTCATTTCAAGTAGCTAAGGCTGTAATTATCATGTCCAGTTGAACTATAGCTATAGTCCATAGTGATGGCTCAGTCTACAATAAAGTTAACTACCACTCGACTCCTACCCAGAAATTTTACATTAATTACATGTTAGCATTGAGATATCGAGACCTTCAACTGAGCAAGATATACAGCCATCTCTTGACCTGTACCCAAAATATGGAAGCACTAGACAAGTTTCCTCAAAATATCAATATATAATAGTTTAAAATACATTTCATCAGCATCAACACAAGGTTCCCTTTGTGAATTGTAATCAGTGTGAAGAAGGTAGAAATTTGTAATATATTCAATGATAAGAACATTTATTGTTTGAAGGCAAATGAAAACCTTTGTGTTCCTTAATATTTGTACAGTACACTTTGTGGATTATCTGCAGGACGTTTTTGTATATATAAATGCTGACAGGTATGAACTAAACACTCGACAGCTTTTCTGTTTATGCTTCGTGGAATATTGAAGGGGCTTTAAAAGATATTGTCGAACAATGCCTTTTTCGGTGTTTATGGTCAACGTGATTTATGGGGTAGAGTGATTTGTTCCAATGGTCATGAGCTGGAGGGATGCTATAGGTGCACTTGATCATTTTAAAATACTAATATTTTATATTAAATCTTCCGTTACTTTGTACAGTGAATCATGTTAAAATTACAGTTAACACTTGTTGATCTTATATGCGATGGCTGAGCATGGTAAGAAAATTGTACTGATAGTAAAACAAAATCTCAAGTTACCTGAAAATTTTTGACAACAGAAAATGGGCGACGCAGTTAGCCGAAGATTATAGGTGTTCAGGGATTACGCCCATAAAATGAAGCTCAAAGGCTGACCTCAGAACTATTGCCAATCAACACGACTACATAACCTATACAATATTGTGGAAAGAAATTATGGCGTTGGTTACGAAAATGGCGGACACGGTGTTCTGTGGCTCCAACCATTGACGGTAGATCGATCGCCGAGGACACTTGTTCCAGATCCAGATATTTTGTACGGTTCTTTTTAACGAAGTAACCAGGAAGGAGGCCTACAATTGGACATGGTGTGTGCTACGATAAGTTTTTAAGCCGTCGACGAAATAACGTTGACTTATGTCTACAGAGTGACGCCTATGACCTTGGCTGTCAGTACATGACAGGGTATTGTCAGTGTTGCTGCGAAACAAAAGGGAAAATAAAAGTGGGGAAAATTAGTATGAAATTCAAACTGTCTTGAGGAGTGTGAAAAGTTCGCGAAAACATGCGACAATTACAAACTGTTCCTCAAAATGAACGTCAGCTTGTAAGAAAAAAGTAAATTAATTCGTGAATTTCTGTGAATACACTAAACATGTCTTTCAATTATTCATGCTTCTTCTCCCCCTTATTAGCCTGAATAATTCAGTCATCTTATGGTGTTTGTTACCACTTACACTTCAACCTGAGACACTGTTATTAAGTCACTGAAAAATATTACATATCATTCACATATTTACTATGTTTACCAAAGAGGAGCCAAATTCTTGCCCAATACGTACATGACATCAGAATTGTACCATCATAAACTGGAGTAACTTTGTGATATTAATGTGAATTTAATTTCGTAAAACCCTTTTGGGAGTAGGAATTATATATTACAAATCAAACATTGAAAAACACTGTCCTACATTAGAAACACATGCATGATCTCTATTTGATTAATTTCCCTCATACTGGCAGCACTAGTAGATGAGTTCAATCCAAAAATTATCCTGTACTGCATGAGGCACTGGACGATGGAGCTGCAATGCACTATGGTGAAGATATCTGGCAGTGGTTGAACATGATGGATTGGATTGCATAGTCTCCATGGTTCGCCATATCTATCTTTGATGGGCATTTTTCCTGTGGGGTCAATTGAAGGCACATATTTATGCTGTCCCTCCAAGGACTATTGATCTCTTGGCAACACTCGATGCCAGCAAATTAAGGAATGCTGTGCAGCGCACAACTGTCTGCTGTGAAATAGCCACTCAAACCTTACCGAAAGTAAACAAACTGCCTAATCTACCTTAACATTAATTAAACTACCCTGTCCCAACCTAACCAAATGAAACAAACACAAACATCCTAACCTAACCTGACTCCACAAAAACCTCACTTCCAAACTCTACAGAGCTGAGTTCTTCCTGAGAAGCCCACAGCCACTCCCAACATTTTTTACTATTGCCAATCAACACGACTACATAACCTATACAATATTGTGGAAAGAAATTATGGCGTTGGTTACGAAAATGGCGGACACGGTGTTCTGTGGCTCCAACCATTGACGGTAGATCGATCGCCGAGGACACTTGTTCCAGATCCAGATATTTTGTACGGTTCTTTTTAACGAAGTAACCAGGAAGGAGGCCTACAATTGGACATGGTGTGTGCTACGATAAGTTTTTAAGCCGTCGACGAAATAACGTTGACTTATGTCTACAGAGTGACGCCTATGACCTTGGCTGTCAGTACATGACAGGGTATTGTCAGTGTTGCTGCGAAACAAAAGGGAAAATAAAAGTGGGGAAAATTAGTATGAAATTCAAACTGTCTTGAGGAGTGTGAAAAGTTCGCGAAAACATGCGACAATTACAAACTGTTCCTCAAAATGAACGTCAGCTTGTAAGAAAAAAGTAAATTAATTCGTGAATTTCTGTGAATACACTAAACATGTCTTTCAATTATTCATGCTTCTTCTCCCCCTTATTAGCCTGAATAATTCAGTCATCTTATGGTGTTTGTTACCACTTACACTTCAACCTGAGACACTGTTATTAAGTCACTGAAAAATATTACATATCATTCACATATTTACTATGTTTACCAAAGAGGAGCCAAATTCTTGCCCAATACGTACATGACATCAGAATTGTACCATCATAAACTGGAGTAACTTTGTGATATTAATGTGAATTTAATTTCGTAAAACCCTTTTGGGAGTAGGAATTATATATTACAAATCAAACATTGAAAAACACTGTCCTACATTAGAAACACATGCATGATCTCTATTTGATTAATTTCCCTCATACTGGCAGCACTAGTAGATGAGTTCAATCCAAAAATTATCCTGTACTGCATGAGGCACTGGACGATGGAGCTGCAATGCACTATGGTGAAGATATCTGGCAGTGGTTGAACATGATGGATTGGATTGCATAGTCTCCATGGTTCGCCATATCTATCTTTGATGGGCATTTTTCCTGTGGGGTCAATTGAAGGCACATATTTATGCTGTCCCTCCAAGGACTATTGATCTCTTGGCAACACTCGATGCCAGCAAATTAAGGAATGCTGTGCAGCGCACAACTGTCTGCTGTGAAATAGCCACTCAAACCTTACCGAAAGTAAACAAACTGCCTAATCTACCTTAACATTAATTAAACTACCCTGTCCCAACCTAACCAAATGAAACAAACACAAACATCCTAACCTAACCTGACTCCACAAAAACCTCACTTCCAAACTCTACAGAGCTGAGTTCTTCCTGAGAAGCCCACAGCCACTCCCAACATTTTTTTGGAACCCAGAGGTTCATTACCGTGTTCACAAGAGCCCGCTTCTGGTCCCTATCCTGAGCCATATCAGTCCAGTCCATACCTCCCATCCTATTTCTCTACGATCCATCTCAATATTGTACTCCCACCTATGTCTAGATCTTCCTAGTGGTTTCTTTTCTTCTGGTTTGCCCACTAAACCCTGTATGCATTCCTTTCTCTCCGATATGGGCTACATGGCCTGGCTATCTCACTCCATTGACTTCATCAGTCTAATTATATTTAATTCACTTATGGAGCTCTTCATTATTCAACTTCCTCTGGCCTCCTAGTAATTCATCCCTCTTGGGTCCTAATATTCACCTCAGCACCGTTCTGAATCACCCTCAGTCTGTGTTCCTCCCTTCGTGTCAGAGACCAAGTTTCACACCCATACAAAACTAGAGGAAAAATAGTTTTGTATATTTTAATCTTTACGTTTTTAGACAGCAAAAGTAAATACAAAATGTTCTCAACTGAATGGTAGCAAGCATTATATGAATTCAATCTGCTCTTAATTTCCTCATGAAAAACCTAGCTTCAAATAACCTAACCACATTCTTGGACATTCATAATATTAAAATTTCAGTTATCCATTATTTCAAGATCTATAAAACTTGAAATTCCTAAAAATTCCAAATTTACAATAATTTGAAATTAAAAAACCTAATTTTAAAGAAAATTATGATTCTCATGTTTGAAATTCCAACATTCAGAATTCATACTGAAACATTTATCCTGACCTAAACTTCATGAGAGAAACTAAGCAAACCTAATCTAACCTGACCTAACCTAAAATAGTATCTAACTTAGCCTATCCCAACAAAAACTAACTTAACACACGTGGACACTTCGGCTGAGTCTCACTAACATCAATATAAACAAGGATTATGACAGTAAATAATCAAAGAATGGATGACAATGATGGCCACTGTAACCCTTGTAACTATTGCAAAGTAACAAGTTCGCTCTTTGATAGTACCCACTTTGGCCATCAGATCACAGCAGTTCAGTGCCCACTGAAGATGGAGACATTTCAGTCTTCAGCCTTGATGATGGAGACACTGTTTCTTTGAAATGCTGGCACTTTGTGACAAGTCTACATGGCACCAAAACCCAGAAAAGGAACATCATCATGAAACGTTTATGTTTTAATGAGTTGTCTTGCACTTTGCAGAAATTGTTGCAGGCAGTACTACGTACGTCTAATTCAAAATTTTGTACAGCTGAATGTAGTTGTTATCCTGCAGTAATGGTATTGGAGAGATAATTCAAAGACATCTGTAGTTTACAAAAATAAAAGCTTCAGAAAATGAGATTTGCACATAAATAGGAATAAGTGTTTGTTCTACTCAATACAGATGTCATTATAAATTAAATCCAAAAAGCTCAAATTTTATATTCTGAACATACTGTTTCTGAAGTGATTTATTAATTAAAAATACAAACTTTACACAATCTTAATTAAATTAGTTTACACTTCTTTTTGGGTAAGGATTCTTCTACAGTTTCCATGTTGCTGAAGAGTTCATCATAATCATTTTCAATAATTTGTATGTCATCATCACTGCCTTTATCACGTACATTGTCTGTGGTTTTTAAGAAGGCATTTGAACGCAGAAGAATGCAATTCAGACAAGATTTCATATACATCTGAAAACAAATTGAAATTATTACAATAACAGTACATACAACCTTATAAAAAGTACCAATTATGTATATCTAAGATGATATTTTTTTATATAACACAACTTCCCTCCTCTTAATTTATTTGTCTGAAAAGTTCACAATAAAACCACTGTTGTTAATATTGCTTATAATAAGATCTTCAATATAGTAAATGAAAAATGAAAATTAAAGTTAAAACAAAAACTGGACCTAAACTGTATTTGTGTTGGCATCTACAAAATAAACCAGGAAAGTGTACTCCATACCAGAATATGTTCTTCGCGTGTATATATAAGTACTAAAAGTGAAGAATGGCAAAAAATCCATACCAAATTTCATCCCAATCCATCCAGTGCTCCTTGAGTCGAACTGACTAAACAAACTGATGGACAGGCATGAGTAGCCCATAATGCATTCTCACCACATACATTGTACAAAGAATGCATAAAAATTAAAAATTTCCATCATCAAAACACAACAAGGAAAACATTATCATCGAGAAGACAGTGTACATCATGTATCTCATGATCGTGTCTGCATTACCTAAAGAAACGACTGGAACAGTGTACTCTTTGGAGTACTCTGAAATGCCAAAGGTATTCTTCATGCTACATCATAAAGGTCACTGTAGCACTAACGTCATTAAAGGTTCTTGCTGAGCAACAATGTGTTCCAGCAATGTTTTAGGTAACTGTTGCACACCAGTGTGTTCAAATAATAATGATGGTTCCTACTGTTGCACAACAAAAGTCTTTAAGTCACACTAATACGATCAGATGTAATTGTGCAAGAATGTATTACAACAATGGGGCCATGGTTACCATTACTACACAACACTTACCCTGAACATTTCAGTTCTGCCTACCGTCTAAAAAAAACATGGATGGACTAAGAGTGTTCTTTGCTTACACTAGTGTGAAAAACACCTAATAAAATAGATAAATAGAAAATTGAGTGTGTAAACAGCATTGTTATGCATTATGACACTGACATTCATAAATATAACTACACAACACTTAACTATGGCTTGATTCATTGTCTGAAAAAAGAATGGCAAATATCCTAAAATGTCATTATAACTAGACTCACTTGTTATACAGTCACTTTAATATAAGGAGAGAACCATATAATTGCCCTACACTCGTCAAAAAATTTGAATTAAAAATTAAGAAAACAAGAGTCGTAAGGAAAGGGTACAATAATACTGTCTCATTACCTTCCCATTGACAATATCTGAGTGACAGTGGGAGGCAATACTGAAACACATACTTTGGCTTGTATATTTGTAATTTTATTGCCTAATAGAGGTTATAGGTCAGTGTTAGAGCAATGAAAGAAGTTTAGAAGTTGCAGAAATCATCAGGAAAGAATGGAAAGAGGCCATCAACAACTGGCATTTCATTACTGACCAAAGAAATGTTAAGACTTATGAAGAACACAAAAATAAAACCAAGGCCATCTTAAGGTTCCATAGGAACAGCCATTGAGGGCCTAACAATAGAGAGTTCATGGTGGTGGAGATGGTGATAATGAAATTTGGACCTATGAGAGATGAAGAAACAGAGGACTGGAGAAAATTACATAATGAGGAACTTCACAATCTGTACATATCATAAAACTGTGATTAAATCAAAAAGAATTTGTTGGGCAGGATGCATACCTGACACAGAAGGGGTTAACTTTATACAACACTCTGGATGGTAGGCTTCAAGGAAAGAGAACACTTGTACATGAGTACAGGTAAATGAAAGACTAATACAAAAGAGAATATTAAATAAATAGTTTGTGAAGATATAAACTCAGGTTATTGTGATGAACCTTCAGTTCCAGAATTTCTTGATCACTTGAATGATTATCAACTGCTTATTCAGAGCTCATTCTTTGAACATGGTTTCCTCACTTGTTCTAGAGTGTCTCATAAAATCTGTTATCGATGGCTTTCATATTTCATCATTTCTTTTACAGCCAGAAAGGATTTCACTTGCTATCTATCATACAAATGTCTTGTCATCAGTTCTCCCTTTTCTGTCTTATGACATAATGATGGTTTGTAAGCACAATTTGTGATAGCCATAATATTGACATTTAATTTATTTATGGCCTACTTAATGATGATGCCAATAGCACAAGATCACAGAATATCGAGTTACGTAACTGAATGTTTTTAAATTCACTTTATCCTTCTCTTCAGAATGTAGATTACATCTGAAATAATAATTATTACATGCAGTGATTTGTTCTAATGTCTTGTAAGGCCATTACCTAATCAAATAATGTCTTACCCTTTGCAGGAGAGCTCTGCTGTTGAGGTTATGGACCAGAATGTGTCTGTCCAGTCCAACACTCACAATGTAAGGTTCTGTCTTATGGCATGCTATAGACTTCAGCGAACCCACAGCACCTTTATAATGTTGTACCACTGATCCTTTCCTGCGCAGGTCAATAAGCATTATCTTTCCTGTGGTACTTCCTACAACAACATGGCTGCAAACAAACAGAAAATTCATTGTGCACAATCTAAATGGAAGTAAACTTAAAGCGAACAGAAAAATTACAAGTTTCATTCGTGGCAAGACATTCTGTGTATTGCTTTTATTTGATGTTAATCTCCAGTGACCTTTCATATACAAAAACAGCCAGAATTTTTTTAATTCAAACAAACAATAAAAAACCAGATACTGCGACAGCTTGATATCAATCATATACAAGGTGTACACATTAAATGTATACCATTTTACTGCATCATTGCTCATAAACTGAATGGCAAAGGAATGTAGGTTATATAACCAAGTTTCTAATTTGTGCCAGTTGATTATCAAAATCTTTACACTAGAGGCACTATACTCTCAATTGTTAAAATGGAGTCTTACGTAGAAAAAGCTGAATGCAGTCTGTGGTTTCACAAGTTTAATTCTGCAATTACTATGCAAAGGATACTTCATACAGTGTTTGGAAGGGAACCACCAACAAAAATGTGGATTTACAAGGTTTGACTTACAATACTGTGTTATATGAATCACGACTGAAAGTCTGCATGCAACTGTCATGTAATATCTTACATTGTTCATACCTGGTTGTCGCTAATTGTTAATTACTGATATTTTCTTTAAAAAAACAGTATTACCACCAATTATACTAGACACTAAAAGAAATAAGAACCAAATGAATCTGGATGAAAGTAACATGTCAAATTAATTTAATACATAAAATATAATAAATATACTTCCTGTAATCTTACAGTCAGTTACATAAGACAGAACAAGCTAATTGTTAACCCTTTGTTTGTATTATGTGAAATTTACATAATAGTATGAATTGTACTTTATAATATGTATTGTATTATTATTATTATGACTTTTTGCACATCCTATTGTCATCTGACTGTCTTATGGATCCATGGAATGTAATAAAATGTATGTATGATGTCGATGTGTATAACCATGGATAGCTGCTCCACCTGCACTAACCTAGGCATGGCTTTGATTTAGCCTGCTTTTTTTCTCAAGTAAAAAACAAATGTGATCACAAAGCTCTGATTGCATCCTTTTAAACTTCTGAAACAGACAGCTTTCCACAAAATTTGGTATAGACACTGTGCCACTGGAGGCTACCCCAACCCTGTACTTCTTAGCTTTCTACAGTCATCAATGTGAACAAGGGAAATGCAAAAGCCTGTAAGATGGGAGTACTACAGCCACTTAATATAGGATCCTGAAATGAAGTGTGGTAATATATCTTTGGAAATTTGCAACTTTTGTAAAGGTAATTTTTGTAGAGTGTAAAACATGATAACCATGAAAATATTTTCTTTTAACTTTAATGAGTTTTTCATTTATGCAGTATTTGTAAGAAATACATCTGCTGCATAAATGAAGAAATGACTTTACATTACTTACTGGTCTCTGTTAGTAACTGTCAAAGTTGTCAGGGACTGTTCAGGGATATCCATATTAATAACTGGTCGCCTTTGAGCAGTACTTGGATCATAAACTCTTACCTGAAAATTAAATATCAAATACTTTACTGCTAAACTGGCACTGGATAAAACAAGATTGGAGTACACTAAAATTCCAAAGGTGTTCTTATCCCACATTCTGTGTACAAACTGTTTTAATGTTATCTCCTTAATCATATATAAGTATATCAATTAATATTAAATACATCTGCCAATTTTATATCATTACTCTTCACATATGCACATGTTTGTAATCTTAATTTGTAATACTGATACTTTACAGAATAATGCACACCTATCCATGGAAATGCAGTAATGGGTAACAGCATTTTGGCAGAGGATCATCCTCCTACCTTATAAATTTGATCATTCATCATGTTGGTATCTCCAATTAGAGGAAATACAGAGGTATGAATTTTGAACAGTCACTAATGGCATGAATTCCATTCCAAACTTCAAACAAATCCTATCAGCCATCACTCACTCACTCACTATAACTGTCCAGTACCTCAATAATACCTGAGTGAATATGAAACGGTGGTGGAAAAACTCATAGAAAAACATGTCTCAGTGCCACTTTGTCCACCAAAAATCCCATGTGGGCTGCCGTGGTTGTAAACTCATAACTTCCACAGTGAGATACTGGTGCCTACTTGAGCCATTACACAGCTTGGGATAGTACTTTAAATTAGGACACAGCTACCCCTTTCCATATACTTTCCTATTCATTAACCATCATATCATCCTAGTTTATATCTTCTGAGCTATTGACAGCATCATTAAATAAATCAAAAACAAATATATGAGTGAAATGTCTATACTTAAAGTACTGAGGTAAATATAATTTTGATCCGTATCAGTCAATTGTACCTGTATCTCTAAATGCTACAGGAACAGATCATGAGAATATCCTGCAGCCATAAAACATAAAATATTGGATTGTCAAATTCAAGTAGATGCCAATTAAGTGGGAAAGGAAAATACCACATCCCACCAGGCAATACTCGGTAAATGTTTTCCAATTATATATGCATCTATGTACAGACTTACATAAATATGATCATGCCACATCAGTACAAAGCAGAACCTACCATAAAATAAATAAATGGTACCAAACAAATCCTTAGAAATGTGGCAAATTTCAGGTGTCTGGAAATGATACTATAAAAAAAGTATTTCCGAAATAACAAAGGTTAAACTCAGGAAATGCTTTTTACCACTCTGTGTTTTTTCTATCACTAAAAACTTAAAGGTTAAAATATACAAAATTATAATGTTTACTGTTGTTCTAGATGAGTGTGAAAATTGGTGACTCACTCTAAGGGCATAACACAGACTAAGTGTGTTTAGAAATATGACACTGAGAAGAATATTTATTTGGACCTAAGAGTAATGATGCAATATGAGAATAGAGAAAATTTCATATGGCAGGCTTTGCAATTTGTACTCTTCACTAAATATGAAATCAAGGGCAGATAACATGGGTAGGATATGTAGCATGCATGGGAGTGATGATAAATGCATAGAAAACTTTAGCCAGAAAATTTGAAAGGAAGAGATGACTTCAGAGACTGAAGCAAAGATGAGGGAATATTAAAATGGATCGAAATAAACGGTGTAAAGATGTGGAATACATTTATCTACATAGTTAACATTAGGATTTTGTAATGAACTTGAATTTCATAACAGGTACAGAATTTCTTGACTAGCTGAATGACTATTCTAATAAGGGTTCTGCTCAATGAAGTTGGTTAGTTAGTTACATCACAGGATATTGCAAGACACTACAATGACCTTGCACAAAGGATTTGTAAAGATGAATATTAATATCAAAGAACAACAGTTATACTGCAGTATACTGAAATCCTTTGCTAGTACTGCAAATACCTGGCGGGCTTATGCTACATATACATCAAGACTTACATGTCCATATCTTGTGCAGACTGCTACTTTGGTGCTGTCTCGCAAGAAACCCATGTCCGATATCCACACAGGTACTCGTAACTGCAACATGTCTTGTTTCACCTGAAACATTGAGTTCTTGCACAAACAGACAATATCTGTGCTGATGTGATCAATTAAATGACATTTCCTAGCATGTTTTTATACAACATGTATTTAAATTAACTGGCATGTGAGCACTAGTACCCACTGATTTCAAATGGTGTAGCAAAGGAATAAATAGTAGTCTGTACATGAACGGTACTGGAAGAGGTTATAAATTAAAACCTGGAATTCTATTTAAACATATATGGGATAATTTTGTAAACAGTAATCATAATACTAATGATGTTGATGTTAAAAATTTACCTTATAAACTTAAGAACACATGGCATCAAGAGACCATGGACTTTAACTTCTTCAGCATAGACCTGATAGTGTACTTAAGGCATAATAATTTGAAAGAATTAAATTTACAAATATATTTTGACCTTTTAAAGGAACCATGATTGTGGCTAGTGTGGATGACAGCCCCTTACAGCATTCTGAAGAGTTATGAACACACCCCAAGAAATATAATTTACAGTATGAAACCAAAGAATGAATATCCTTGAAGAGATTGAAAGATTTACTTTCCTAATATTCACAATAGCTGACATGTCCTAATACTGGGAAGGATGATGAATTATGAGTACAGTTCCATACAGGGCTAAAAAGAAAAATGTTTTCCCAGCCCCCATGGGCAAGTTAGGTGACAAGTACACAGACATTTATATGAAGCATACTGAGATATTATAGGCAGGTTTATCCTGATTAAACGGGTAACAGATGTAACCTGTATTTCTGGTGCCTTAGTTCCATGTATTCACAAGTCATAGACATATTTTTAAAAGCTTGGCTTTCTAAAACATAACAAACTAAACTCACATTTTTAGCTGCAAAAGTACACGTATTCTGTTCTAAATTCCAAAGCTTAAGGTCATTTTCCTTTCCTCCAACTGCAATAATATCTGCATTTATTGAACTATGTCTCATTTTCTCTATTGGACCACCAGTGTCCATAACACTGTTGGAGTCTTTTGAATGACTCCATATCTTCACATGACCTGATGCTACAGCTGTCAGAAGTTTCCTAGAAACAAAGAGAAAACATCTCAGAAAATGGTTGATTTATTGACTAGTGAATATTCATAACTGATGAAACAGTTATTTAGTCTTGTGCTTCAGTTTTCACAGCTGGAATTCAATGTAAAACTTTGGCTTTTGGGTGCAAGCCACATCAAATGATGAGTATTAACTAACATTTTAGCAAACATCACAGTTATAAAACATGTACACAAACAAAACTGTTTACACTTTGAAGGACACTAATGCCAAATGCATTTCAACCTCAAGAGGTCATCGTCAGTGGGAGAAAAAAAAGAAAAGAAAAGAAAAGAAGAAAAAAAAACAAGTTATTCAGTGTAGTGTAAGGACCACTGCCACCAGATTCAAACCCAATTGCAGTAAATAAATAATAATAATAATAATATAATACAAATCAAAAAGATTATGGTTTTTAACAGAGCATAAAAAGTATGCATTTTACAAAACCATATTTATGTAACACCTCACTGGTAGTTGATTGCACAGGAGTTGGTATATTATATTGGGCACTTAGCTTTTATGCCTACTGGTAATGAAAATGGCCACAGTTTTACGACGATTACACAGTTAACCCAAACACATTAAACTATTCTTTTGTACACTTAAAATGTAAAATGACTACACCATGTGGAAAAATTACATCAAGGACTTGAATATAATGAAAAGTAATATCCGTAGCCATTATTCTACCCAACTGCCACTAATGTGTTAATTAATTGGGTTCCTTTACTGTTAATAGTCTAAATAGTAATACCATTTTCACATTTACTCCCACCCACAGGATGATAGTAAAACCATATGAAAACAGACCAGCAGTTGCCACTTGAAGCATAACTTTATTGAATTAATGTTAACATAAAGCTTACTCTTTATATCTTGACAGTCCTTTTATACTTCCTTTTCCACAGGTAGCATCCACGCTACTTGTAAATGCTTTGAAGTCGGTGTCGTATATCTTTACTCTCTGACATGACATTCCAATTAATACATCAATCTCTTCTGGGTCCCCCCATGCCAATGATGTAATTTCATGTTCCTTCGTGAGGACTTTTATATTTTGTATATTCTTTGCAATTGGTTTTGTGCCCTCGTCTTCAAAATTAATGCTGATTCCTGGGGTAAAAAAGAAAAGAAATCGTGATTGAAATTTCAAAGCTGAAAGAAACCATGCGTTCAACCTGTAACGTAGTTCAACCATAACCTCAAAATGTTGATTGAATTAATATGCATTTCTCATACACAACAAACATATTTATTATACTAATATAATACAAATTTAAACAAGTAAACTGCTAACAGCGCAAAATGGTTAGTCCGTACCTTTAAATGAGCCTGTTTTCCCTCCAAGAAACAAATCAAAATCATGTTTCCGTGCCATATTGAAGACTACCACGATGACCAACATTGATATTACAATCCTAGGTCGTCCGGGTTACAGACACTTGTAGATGTGACCAACAACAGCCACCAAATTATTTCGAACAGGTTGGAACACACACACACACTTAATGTAATTCGTTGGATAAAAACTGTTCTTAAGGTAAAAATTTGCGAACCGAAAATAAAATTCCCATTAATTTCTATAAATAATTCTGACCTGTTCCCGATTCCCAGAAAATCACTGTAATGTTTACGCAGGGAGTGAATGGGTTTCTATTTCCTACAGAATAATGCCAAATTTTCACAAAATTAGAATTGCAGATTATCGAGAAACAATATAATTATCAATTATTTACCACGAAAGTGTACCTGACTTTAGGTAATTCCATGTGGTCATAATCGATTCAATGCAGTTACAAGCAAAGTTCGTACTTAGTATTATGAATTATCGATCATATCAAGTTTGTAATAGTTGCATGTTGGCACGAAAAGTACAGGTGGAGCTGATCGATAAGTTCACATGGTTGAAGAGTTTATTAGTTTCGTGTGTAATTAAATACAGTACGTAATATAAGTTCTTCTTCAAAACAATTATAATTTTGTTTGCTCATTGATAGAACTGGCAAGTTTAAGGATTTCAGAACGGACTGTTTTACGTCCTGCTTCGATAAATTCTGCTGAAATTTGATGAACATATGAAATTTTACACTTTTTAAAGTTTTTAATAGCAATCTCAAATTCAAAGGAAATAGGCCCAGGTATTAACGACCTAGCCACAAGCATTTGAGTCTGCCCTACGCCAATCACGATACAACAGAGAAGAATTTTGAGTAGTTTCACTCATCTTGAAAGAATATGCAAAAACTTTCATCACGCCATTTCCAATGTTGTTAGCTACTCCCACTTGTTTTTTTCTTTCTTGGAAATTGTAAGTTCTTTGAAAACATTTAAAACAGTTATACTTAACAGCAACATGTCACATTTACACAAGAATTTTCAACTTTCATTCGAATTCATTTCGGCGATAGTTTGAGAGAAACCTCTCAGAATATCTGTTAAAGAACATGTGGGTGTAGAACTCGCTAACTCTAAGCAAATGTTACTTATGCATACAGGAATTACGGACTGTTTACATCATCCATCAAACTACGAATCTATTTTTACTTGTGTAAGTACGGAAGTAAATTGAGAAATATGAAGGTAGTTAACAAATTTATCCGTTCAGTAACGTGTAATTCAGTAACATTAACGTACACGCTCTTTTACTCAAGCATTCACAGTCTCCTACCATGGTGAAATTCATAAAGACACACGACTTATATTCTGTAATTAAACCCTTACTCTATGTCTCTAAAGCTGTGGGAGTCGCTCCATTTGTTCTGGAAGGTGAACTCAAAAATCGGAGGTTAAGAATATCGGGTCCTGCTGTGGTGTACAGTGTCTTAGTATTATTGATATTATTAGGACGTCAGATTTCCTTGATTCGAGAAATTTACTTGTTCGATTTGGAAACTGTTTTCAAAACAGCAGCTGTCATTGAAACTGTTACTTACAGTATATCTACATCCGGTTTCGCGCTCATGTTTTTGCTTAAGCGTACTGACATGTATAAAATTTTACACAAATTATCTCTGTTTGATGAACTATTTGGTGATATGGAGAGGTCATACAATTCGGCACTTTTATTTTTGATTGGTCAGATGTGTTTACATCTAGTCGTCGTTTTGACCTTAAGCATCACCGTTAGCTCTTACGTGGGATTAATAACGTTTATTGACTTTGTTGGACGTTCGGCCACTGTAAACAACCTTCCAATCATTCTCATAGTGGATACACAGCTTTTTAACATAATGTTACTGCTGAAGCAACGTTTTTTCGCTGTAAATTTAAAAATTACAGACCACCTAAATGAAAACCACAACACGTTCTCAATTCGGCCCCGCAACAGTAAGGTAGCGATTTCTTTGATAACCCAAATTCCGAAAGTAACTTTGATGGATTCTTCGTTTGATCTTCCTTGTGAGAGATTTCAGTATCTGAAGAATCTCCACGAATTTCTGTGTGACATTTCTGAACTTGTAAACTGCACGTATGCGATCCATATGTTGCTGAATGTCATACTAAAATTTATTGCCATAGTATTTAACATTTATTTCCGGTTACTTCGTCTGTTGAAGTCCGATAAAGGACAATACAGTGACGACGTTTGGGAGTGGGTGATGACCGGTATGCTGGGCTGGTACGTCTTGAAGCTTGGCGGAATCGTCTGGGCCTGCGCCTCGACAGCTCGAGAGGTAAGTTGCAACTTGCACACGTTAACTGGTGGCCCACATTTCGTGTCCTTCCGACTAAACAATGATTGGTTGTTTGGACAGTTTCTTTTGGCAATCCGGATAAAATTTGACATATTCCGCCATAAAGATGTATGAACAACTGGAGTTAGAACTCCATCCATTCTTAATCTGAGTAACAAGATTTCTGGATCAGAAACAATTGTAATAACTATTCGGCTGGCCATCGGACAGTAACAACCGTGCCCTGTTTTAACATTTTATACATCGCCAAAAATGTTTCTGTGCTGTTAAAGGGAGAAATGATATCACACTTTATTGAATTAAGTCTCACATGTTACACGTGAAGTTTGTTTCATCTTGGTTACTCTAGCTGTTCATTTGAAACATCTCCTATTTTGATATGAAACCTAAGTTCATGAAGGATACATCGCTTTTACAAACGAGTCTCTGCAAACCAGTTCTGGAACCGATTCAGAGCCATCCAGCCATTACATCATTTGTGGAAGTACGAGGTGCGATCGGAAAGTTTCAAGACTGCGCGTATAAAAACCCGTACACTTATCTCAGGCATTAAATTCATCCATCACCCTCGAAGTAGTTCCCCTGGGAGTGAACACAACGATCCCAGCGCCGCTGCCAAGCCTGGAAGCATCCCTGGAAATCTTTCTTCGTCAGCCTGTCAAGCACCATCTGCGATTCTGCCTGAATCTCTTCTATCGTCTCAAATCTCCTTCCCTTTAGCTGAATTTTTATCTTTGGGAAGAGGAAGAAGTCACACGGAGCTTAGAAAGGAAGTTGGGGTCGGTTCTTGCAAGATCTTTGAGCTCCTCACAAACGAGAAGTC